AGCTTACTATCCCACCTTCCAACATTACCCAAGGCGATAAGGACCACGATCGAGGATGGCACTATGCTGGAAAGCTGCACTTGTCAGAGCACTACATGTGCTTCTCGACAACCCCCACTAGCTTCCTCCAATCTGCCAGCACATCAACTTCAACCGCTTTCACCGGTCAGACCCACGGCGGAGGCCCCAGCGGCAACGGCTTTAGCTTTCCCCTGTGCGCCATCCGGAGAGTTGAGCGTCTAAACAGCCAGAACTTCCAGGTATGCACAGTACAGCCCTGTGGCAGCGCCCGGTTGATTTCTAACAACTTGCTCTTGATATAGTTTGCGCTGGCCATCACGACTTGGAATGGCCTCCTAAGCGAAACTTCCAAAGAATCCAAGAACAACAAGGATGCTCGGGAACAGCGCATCACGATCCATCTTGCCGGCACCAGGCAAGCCTGCGAGCGCTTCTGCGACGGTCTCAAAAAGGGCCTCCGGGCAGGGGTTGGCAACGTGGCTAAGTTGCGACGAGTCGTCGCCGAGTGCTACTCTGAGCATCTCCTGAGAACCGAAGACAAGAAGAACGTTTCTCCACCGGATGCAGGCCTGGGAATGGTCTTTAGATATCCTGGCGACCCAAAGAAGCTTCGTGATAGGGCCAAGATGCGCCTCTGGGCCGAATACCTACGCGACAACGGCAGAAACTTTACATTAATCCGCCAGCCCACCTTCCACAAGCTCATCCGAGTTGGCTTGCCCAACCGGCTCAGGGGTGAGGTCTGGGAGCTCACCTCGGGCTCCATCTACCTACGGCTAGAGAACCCTAGCCTATATACTGATACGCTGTCCAAGTTCGAGGGCCAGGAGTCGCTCGCTATCGACGAAATCGAAAAGGACCTTAACCGCAGTCTTCCGGAGTACCCCGGCTTCCAGAGCGAAGATGGTATCGGCCGCTTACGTCGGGTGCTAACAGCATACAGCTGGGTTAACGCCGACGTCGGATACTGTCAAGCCATGAACATTGTCGTGGCCGCCCTGCTCATTTACATGTCCGAGGCACAGGCCTTCTTTCTCCTCTCTGCGCTCTGCGACAGACTTGTCCCCGGCTACTATTCCACAACTATGTACGGCACTCTGCTCGATCAGAAGGTGTTTGAATCCTTGGTCGAGAGAACCATGCCCATTCTCTGGGAGCATCTCGTCAAAAGCGATGTTCAGCTATCGGTTGTGTCGCTCCCCTGGTTCTTGTCGCTCTACATCAACTCGATGCCGCTTGTTTTCGCCTTCCGTGTTCTGGACGTGTTCTTTGTCGAGGGGCCAAAGGTCTTGTTCCAGGTCGGATTGGCCATCTTGCGCATCAACGGCGAAGAGCTTCTGGATGCCGCAGATGACGGCGCATTCATCTCGGTGCTCAAGTCGTATTTTGCCCGGCTGGACGAATCGGCTCACCCCAAGTCGGAGAACCCCAAGCTACGGGCTGTGACGCGATTCCAGGAGCTCATGGTCGTGGCTTTTAAGGAGTTTGCGGGCATCACACACAGTAGCATAACGGAGCTGCGCCTCAAGAACAAGGACGCCGTCCTCAATAACATTGAGAACTTCGCCAAAAGGACAGCCATTCGCAACTTGGGTCCCGACAGCAAGTTGCTGAGTACAGATGAGCTCGGGTCGCTTTATGACCGGTTCTACAACATCCTGTATGATCGCCAACAACGAGATCACATCATTCAACAGGAAAAGATCCGGCGAGCAAGGGCCAGCAGGGTACGCGCCTCGGAGTTATTTACCACTCATCACGACGAAGTAGAGAAGGGACGTGTTGGCTTGGGTCCAAGCACGAGTTTGATGGACTATGATGCATTCCGCGAGTTCCTTGCTAGTATGTCGAAATGGGCCATCTCCGACTCACCCAGTTCAGCGAGACATAGCAACCACGAGGACCGCCATGGCATGTTTAACAGCGCACGACGGCCGTCTGATATGTCGCCTTGGGGCACAGGCCCTGAACCAGCCAGCCACGAGTTTCTCGAGCGGCTATTCAGGAAGTGGGATGTAGATGGCACCTCGGCTCTGACTCTCCAGAACGTTGTCACGGGCCTGGCGCAGATCAAAGGGAAGCGTGACATCATGGGCACTATCACGTACTTTTTCGAACTCTACGACGACGATCAGGATGGCAAGGTGGATCGCGAGGGTATCCTGCGGATATCTGAGGCTTTGCTCTTTCTTTCTCGCCGTGGCCTTGAAGGCACACTAAGTCCCAGTTCCTCCAGCATCTTGGAAAGTGACGCAGCAAGCGCGCACGAGTCCCAGACTAGCTTGCCCCATGGGGTTTCGCATAACGAGCGATTCCTAGGGAGCGTGAGTGCCTTTATCCGGCGCTGCTTCGAGTATGCCGACCCGGCCAGTGGGCAGAACGAGGAGGCGCTAGTCACGCCAGTGGATGAAAAAGCCAACGACGATGCCTTTGCGATCGGGGACGATGATGACGGCGAGGATCTTCTGGGTCTTGAATCACCGACCGGAACGCCCACAAAAGCCAAGAGGCCTAGTCTTTCAGCAGAGAGTTCCCTGGACGCACCTAGTGGTGCAGACTCGGCGTCGCGACGTAGGGTATCGCAGGCAAAGTCGGAAGCTGCCAATGTGGCCCTGGATCCTGCGCATCCTCTACACCTCACACTGCCTACCTTTAGGATGGTTGTTCTCGCTGACGAGTTGCTGGAACAATTCTTTGAGTCATCGTTCCCTGCATCTTTCCACATCATCGAAGGACTGCCAAGCTCTGTGTCATCCACGCCGTCTCTTACAACATTTTCCAGTCTTGGTTTCGGTGCCAGACCTCCGGTTCCTCCCCCGGCTGGTCCTCCAGGAGCGGGACGTGGTCTCCGTGGTGTTCTTGACAACATTGTCACGGATGGAATGCGAGTCGCAACTGAGGTTCGAAGACGCATGGAAGAGGCTCAGAAGGAACTCGAGAAGAACGCACTGCCTGGTCAACGGCAAGATGATGAGGACGACGACGATGACGATCTCGGCGTTGAAGTGGGCGTGAGGAAGGGACCTGCAGGTACCAGCGCAGATATAGAACGACGGTCAGTGAGGAGCTCAGACAGGGATCTATTAGACGGGGCAGATGCGGAGGCTGGGGAGTCGGCCAAGGCGCAGGGCTCACAGAGCTTGCTGGATGCTGATCCAAGTGAAGGGCGGCCACGGGCTGGTACCGCGACCTCAACGGGAGGGTCAGCTGTGGTTGAATTTGAGGGATAAGGAAGGCCATTGAGTGAGCCGGTATGGAAGATGGTGTGTCATGTAACAGCCGACTTTGTAAAGCAGGGAACGAATGTAGATTTCGATGGCGTTGCTCTCATGCCTGGTGCGTATGAGTCAAGGTCACATATTGGAACGACGGATGAGGAGGGCAATGAATCTCGATGGCAAGGTTAATGGCGCAAGGTGAATATGGTACTGGGCACGAGTACCCGGTAGACGGCAAGGTAAGGGAGGTATTGATATTGATGTGGACATGGATGTTGGATGATATGGTCTGAGTTATTCTCCTTTTCCTGGCGGCTTTGAGTTGATTGATGCTTGACCCCTTGATATCTCCTGGTGTATAGGTACTCAGTCAGGTATAAGGGTTAAGCTATCAGATTCCATAACCCGAGTTCCTCATGTCAGCCAAGACCTTGTCTATGACCTGGCCATTCGACTTGAATGCCATCATGGCCGCTGCCTCGGACGCATCAACCCATTCCAACTTTAGATGCTCCTCCCATGCCTCTCCCGTTCCTACGTCTGGTGTGGCTGTGGAATCTGCCTTGGCGGCAAACCAAAAGACCATCTTGAACGCTCCCGTGTACACGCACGGATAAACGCAGACGGAAGACACCTCGCAGTTGAGCAGGCCGTCGGTGACATCAGGGTTTGTTCCGATAGCAAACGAGCCGAGCATATCCTGTGTCGGCGTCGCGCGCGTGGCTACCTTGAGCGGCAGAGCGGTCACACTCAGGCCCGTCTCCTCATACGTCTCCCGTAAAGCGGCCGCGAGGAGGTCTTCATCGATGTTCTTGCGGCCCTTGGGGAGGTGGTATGTGTTGCTGGATGTGTCGCGAAGGAGGGCAATCTTGTGTGTGGCCGGGTCGACCGGGACGGTACCACATGAGATTAGGATGTGCTGAGAGGGAAAGAAGTTTTGATTGGTTTTTAGGAAGGCAGATTTGTCGGCGGATGGGTTTGCTTCACATGCGGCCATGGTGTTTGATGGTTATAGTCGCAGTAGACGAGGAGTTACCCGAGAGTTGAGCACAAGGGATATTAGATACTAATGGATCTATGTAACTTGAATTGCAATATCGTAAAGTTGCACTTCAACTAAGCTATCACGCTATTGCTTTGTGTTGAATGAGATATGTCCTGGAGCTAATCATGCAGCATGGCATCGGCGAGGAGTCATTCACTCACCCTACATCTCCAACCCAAAAGACAAACCTCAAAAACCGTTTCCAGCCAGGATGACCTGTCACCGAGCACAAGTCAGTGATGCGCAAGCAATTGCATCATCTGGTGCATCGTGAAACACACTCTGGAATCTACCCGGGAAGGCGCTGGAATGATGGCTGGCCGTTGTGTCGGCATGTGCATGTGTACATGTTGGAGTTGGGATTGTAGACGACACGCGGCAGTGGTTTTTTACTGTCTCACACCGGCTAGTTGACAAGGTGGAACAAGTCTCGGTCGGCACCTGGGAGATGAGGGTCTTGAAGATGTCTGTTTAGTAGGAGTGTTTGGGAATGAGAGTGGTGCTAAAGCGCCTTGCGACTATACTTGTTCAGATTTGAGAGTTGTCTATACAGCTTACGACTCATTAGAGTCTAGTAGCCTTGATATCATCTTGGCATAGTAGTCTATGAGCCAGAGAGACGGCGAATGGCGTGACGATAGTCCATATGCACAAGCCCCGCCATCACGATCCATTACATCACCGAAGCCATTGAACAGCATTACCCTAGATAACAACCATTTCCCTCAATTCCAGAACTACACACTCACTTGATCATCACTCGACCTAGGAACTGTGGAATTTTAATCAAGAAACATCAAGCCATGTCATCAATTCTCATTGTAGGAGCTACCCGGGGCCTGGGAGCCAGTCTTGTCAAGCAATACGCCAAAGCCGGCAACACGGTCCATGGCACTACGAGATCGTCAGAAGGCCCCCAAGGGTTTCCTGAGCAGGTCAAATGGATCACCGACATTGATCTCACACTCCCCAACGTGGGTGACAACCTCGCCAACCTCCTAGACGCTTCTCAACCCCTGGATTCAGTGGTAAGTTGATCAATGCAACAACAGATAAGAGACCCTGACAAACAAGCAAAGATCATCACGGCTGGGCACTTCTCGACCGAGGACTTCAGCACGGACAAGGGACCCAACTGGGAAGAAGAGCAACTCATGTACACGACCAGCTCCGTCGCGCCCGTGTTTGTCGTGCACCGGCTCGTGCACAAGGGCTTGCTCGGCCGGGGCTCCAAGGTGGTGCTCGTGTCGTCCGAGGCCGGGAGCATCGCTTTGCGGCACCCGAGCGAGGGCGGCGGCAACTACGCGCACCATGCCAGCAAGGCCGCCCTCAACATGGTGGGTAAGCTGTTGAGCCTGGATCTGCGGGAGCAGGGTGTCATTGTGAGCATCGTCCATCCGGGCTTTATGCGGACCGACATGACCAAGGGTGTCGGGTACGACAAGTACTGGGAGGATGGCGGAGGTGAGCTTTGTCTAACCAAACATGAAGCATCAAGCTGATTGCATCGCAGCCGTGACACCAGATGAAGCCGCGGCAAGTCTCATCGAGTGGACGGACAAGCTGGACATTAGCAAGACGGGAGAGTATTGGGCTCCGCGAGGATCGAGTAAGTTTTAGATGAAGACTCCGCCCCGGAGGGAGTCTACGTGGAGACGATGCTAACAGAGCCCGACAGGAGACATTGGGACTGCCGAGGCGGTCCTGGGGAAGGACTTGGCTACACCACTCAAGCTGCCCTGGTGATCGGACATGTCGTCATTTTAGGATAGATGCCAATAAAGAAGGAAGCTGCGTGTGGGGAAAAGAGTCTGGAAATTAGTAGTAATTTCTGGTAGCGACTCGCCCAGATGAAGCTATCGTATCCTTATCCTTTGTTGTTGTTGGGGGGCGAGAGACGGCACTCAAAGAGTGTGGGGTTGTGAGATCCAGGGTCCTTCTGTGCATGACTAGACTAGTTAAAAGTAGGAAGCAAGCAGAGCACGCCACGATGCTGCATTCAAAAGGACGGCGCTAGCAGTGTAATTCAATTTAAATTCATAACTGATTTATTTATCCCGGGACGCGGGTCGCGCGTGTCAGTCAATAAGGAAAGGCCCCTAATCTGATTATGATCGGCCACACCCGGCGATGGTGATGCATGTCTGGACGAAGAGGACAGTGGGACGACAAAGAGGAAGCCCACTGTGCATGCCGAGTCTGTTACCCTGTTTGTTGTGCCCGTCCTGTCTTCTTTGCTGAGAAGGATTCACTTGACTTGCAAGGGGAAAAAAGACAAAGACCCCAGCACGGGAAATTGCCGTCAACGTTGCACAAGGGCGAACCTGGGATGCAGGCATGGCGGATGAGGAGCTGTTAGTTCTCTTCCAGATGACCCGTTGCATGGCACGTGGCCTATTACTCCCCCCTTCCCTGGCCAACAATCAAGGTCAACACGCCAGCCAAGTCTGGAGAGGATAAGCTTGGCGAGGATACACAGTATGTATCCGTAGTCGTAGTCGTCCATGGATCTTGTAACTGCGCAGGGGAAAAAGGAGATGGGAAGCCACCTCAACACGAGGTATCATCTCTGAGAACCATGACGCAAAATGGGGCGCCGAGGTTGAGACTCAGCCTGAGCCTGAACCTGAGCCGTCTTGTTTGTTTTGTTGCCAGGGAGTCAGTCAGTCATTCATCAGTCAGTTGGTTCAGGTTCAGCATTTGTCCATGTTCCAAGGCCCGAGACAGTCATCAATCCCAGTGACCAACTGCTCATTCAGAGTAAGTCCCAACGGTCGTATCACAACACGTCCGTCCATCCTGCCCGGTAGAAAAGGGATAGGAATGTAAATTTGAGCCTTGATCGCTCGCCGGGGTCTGCAGCAGCTCTTGCTTAGCGGTGGAGTATGGCGTCGGGTTCTCGTGCTGGCGTCAGGGGTCGTGGAGCTGCGTGGATCATGGCTTTCAACACCTGGACCCATTGACTGTGGAGGAGAGCTCCATCCTGGCCGTCCTGGGCTTAGCGGCACCTTTAAGGGGGAGGGGGGGGACCTTGCATGTTCGGCCGCCTCAACAGGGGATCTTGAGGTGGATGCTGGTCTGTTTTAATATTCATAGCCGTCTGGACGGGTCCGAGGTGGGTTTCTGAGAGGAGTCTTCCGTGGTATCCAGAGAGGTGTCAGCTGAGTCGATAGATATCCGTCAACAAGCAAAACTGAAAGATATGGAATAGGGGTCGGAGATGCAGCCTTACCGTTGGTGAGGGGAGCGGCCTGGCTGAGATCACAAACGCCACGGCGGCTTATAGTGGCCGGACCACAGTGAACTCTACCTAGCGGTGGGAGGATTGGAGGTCCAGCCATCCCCGTGCCCGCCGTGATGCACTGTCCGCCCACCAGACCGGGTCAGCCTAGAGGCTCTCCACCATGGAAGCATTGAGTGGCATCAGAATCGAGGCCATCTGCCGCCACGTCTGGCCTGGCCAGGCCGGAACCAAATAAAGACTAAGACATTGACTGAGGGGGAGAGACAATGGGGGCGAGAACGGAAGCATGGCAGAAAATTGTAATGTGAGCAGAAAAGGAGATGGTTTAGCCTGGTCTCGTCTGCTGCTCCATTCCATCTTTGCTGGCAGTTGTCGAGATGGCCGACTCCGTCGAATGCCATCGAAACAAGGCTTTGCTCTCGGGGAGCTGCAAGGATCCAACAACGCAAATTGCAGAATGCAGAGAGCAAAAAATAAAAACGCCATTAATTGGACAGACAGAGGAGAGCTGACTCCATCATGGATGCTGGACCCATGGGGCTCACTCACTTTCAGCTCACCTGCCGTTCGTTCCATCCATCCATCAGGGCTCTTACCTTACTCTTACTGTGTCTACCCCAACCCCAAGCCAAAGAAAGCCCAGCCCAGCCAGCCAAGCCCGGTCTACAAGACTGCACTCACGAGCAAGGAACCTAGGCAGGTCTACCGTACCAAAGTGCCTTCCTTACCTACCGTATTCGCCGAACTGCTTTGCCCGGAAAGCAGGAACCCCGTTATTCCTCATTTGTTCTTGCCTGGTCCATTCACTCTCAAGTTCTCTCACCTCCGTCCCTCTTCCTCTCCTTTCCCATTCACCATCACCAACCTCTACACGCTCGCTGTTTGCCTCGTGGCTTCGTCGCCCATCGCTCCTTTCTCACTCCCCTCTCCTTGTCGTGTCAACCGGCAGAGAAGGACGAGTCTCGGATTGACTGCGATTCATTCCTTTCATCATCTCATCTCATCCTCCAGTCCTTGCAACCTGGACCATACCATACGGATCCCAGCAACTAACTCACCACCAACAATACCGACTTACGGCTGCATATCGCTCACCAAGTATCGATCGCCAGATTCTTTTTTTCCCCCTCGCTGCCCTGTGTCGCCTTTTATCGAATCCCTTTATCCCAAGCTTACCGGAACCACCCTGAGGACTCGACCGAGCTTTGACTCTCGCCTACCAACCTGGGACTGTCCTTGTGTCGTCAACCGAGCCGGTCCTCGCCCCTCTCCTCTGATTCACCTCCAATTCAGCCGTGGCTCACCCGAAACTACTGTTGTTCCTAGTGTTGGAAATCCGGAAATCTCTCGAGTTGCGACCTTTCGACTGGCTTTCTTGTTGCTGCGTTCTCACGACTCCTTGGCTACGCAACTTTCGTACCTGGACCCTGATTTCGCCTCTTGATTCCGCATACCCTTGTCAGACGGCATCGTCGTAGTGCCAATTCACCACCCCTGCCAGAGTCCCGCCTTTTGTCCTGGCCTGCCCAAGCTCAACAGCCGCAACCTGCATTGGCCTGCCCCGCTGATAGGCGCGTTGACGAGTCGCCAGCCAGTTGACCCTGAGCGACCGAGCCGGCCACCCGCAAATCGGAGACCTTTAGCCAGCATCTTCCTTTGTCGACCTTCCAGCTCCTCAACTGTTTTGCACTGTTTCTGCAAACGCCCGGGTCCTTGCCGCACTCGGTGATACAGTATTGCTCTACGTCCGGAGGCATTCTAATCACGGACCCATAACCTTCACAGCAAGAAGCTCTCTCCCGTCCGTCTAGGTTCGCCGCTCGGGCGATCATCGTACTTTCTCAGACGAGCCAGCCCCTTTCCGCGCCCTTGGCCCTTGGCCCTTGGGCACCACCAAAGACCAACCCACCCGTCCACCACAAGCCCAGCATAGTCGACGGCCCTTGACCCGCTCCGTCCATCTTCCATCGACGACCTCCTGGCAAGGACGGAACAGAGTTGACGGGGATCCGACTCGTACACTGTGCTTGTCGACTTGGTATGACGCTAGGTCTGGGCTGCTAGGCCAGAGGAATTTAACCCTTTCCGAGCTACGTATTTACCGCGGCCAGCTCTCGCAATCCAACTCTCGGCGAGTTGCTTCTGTTTACTCCCGCCCAGTATAGGCACGGCCCGTGTTGCCCCAGGTTCGCATTGCACCGTAACGCATCAATTGCTCTGCTCTGCTCTGCGTTGCAACAGCCACGGTTTAATCTGCCTGATTTTCCTTCCCTCCTGTCGCCTGGCTCCGCATCATTCTCCTGGGATCTTCAAATCAGAAACACGAGCCCGAGCTTGACCCCTTGGCAATCATGAATACTGCTCAGTCTTTCCAGTCTGGTAAGCGCCCACCCCTTGATCTCGCTTTGATATGATCTGCGACAAAGAGCCCCCCATCCAAAGGTGTCCGTCCCCCTTCGAGTCGTCGCCAGGATTTGCGCCCGTCTCGTACCCCAGCCCGGCGCTTGCAATCTACAGGCCAAACGGGACTGGATGAGGGAGGGGAGACGGATCGGGGTGCGAGCCAACTTGGCAGACAACTCAGCAGAAGATTGCTGTCCGATCCACCTGTCTGGCGGCCATCTTGTGTCATGTTGAGGAGATTGTCTGTTTCATCTTGGTCCATCTGTCGTCGTCATTCGCATGCATGCGCCCGTTGTCGTTCCGTTTCGTCTGTTTGGCAGCAACTGATGGTTTTCTTGGAAGCAGGCCATACCGGTCCTGGCGAATCCGCCAGCCTCTCACTGAATTTATCTTCCAACAACCCCTTCCGCAATCGCGCTCCGTCTCCTGCCAGCGCCGACCTTCTCCTCCTTTCATCCAACAAACCGGCTTCTCCCTTTGATGACCCTCCACCAAGACCACTATCGCGAAACCCTTTTCTTGACCAGCCACTCTTTGAACAACCACAGCAGCCTCTGAGGTCACCTGGTGTCATGTCATCGCACTCCGACTCCAAGTCTCTATCTGCCGAAGAGATTTTTGTACGTCTGATATCAGCTGCGCATACCTGCTGAGATGCCCCTCTCAGATGGGCGCGCGTAAATGATTACCTGCCGAGATGCTGACCGACTACGTTATAGGATTCATTGACACTCGACGACGCCTCTGCCAACGACCGATCCAAGCAGCAAGGTCAGCGCCGACCGATGAATCGCCCACCTCCTCCCCCCCAGACCCAGAGCGGTAACCACCGCCCAACGCACTCTCAGGAGGAGGCCCTCCGCGCTCGGAGGATGCAGCAGGGCCCTGGTCCCCGACCGCAGCCCAACTCGCCGCAGCGAAGGCCACCCCCGCGACGAGTGCGACGAAACTCTGAGTCCTCTCTGATGGATTTTGATGCACGCCCACTCACAGATGAGGAGAAGAGAATGATTGAGGCAGCCAGACGTCGCGAGGCTGAACGACGCGGTGACGGCAAAGAACGGGGCGATAAGGGCGGCCGTGAGCGTGAGCGTGAGCGTGAACGTGGTGATCGTGACCGCGAGCGTGATCGTGGTGATAAAAGCAAGCCTAACCGCCCCAGTCGACGGATGGATATCATTGATCAGCTTGATGCCACAAGCATCTACGGGACTGGACGTATGTTTATGACCCCTGTAACGGTGGTCTTATGAATACTAACATGGACAGTGTTTCATCACGATGGGCCTTTTGACGCTCTCAACCCTCACCGCAACCGGCAGAATGCTAGACGGGCGCCGATGCAAGCTTTCCCCAAGGACTCCCTCAACAACTCCCTGGGCGGCGCGGGACCGCTTAACGCCCAGGCCGATCACTCGACTTTTATGGGCAATGCCACAGACGAGGCTTTCCGGGATTTTGCTGCCGGAAGCAAAGGTATGCGATATGGAGGCTCATCCCGCAAGGAGACGCCCATTTTCGACGCCACCGGTCGGGAAGTGATTCACGGCGACGAGTCCCACGGTCTAGGAACATCGACGTTCCTGGAGGGTACGCCTGCGTCGCGAACCGCCATCCAGCGATCCCAGGCAGAGCAGGCACAAGAGTCATTTGAAGGAGGACTTCAACGAAAAAAGTCTCTTGCGCAACGCATCCGCCACATCAACAAGGGCCCCCGCGGCTATGACCAAACCCGAATCCCCGGCGAATACAACAGGATCACTCCTGATAACTACCCCTCAGCAGCGAGCAATGGCTCAGACAACAACCCATTCTTTGCAGAGTTTGGCAAGGGAGAGGAAGGGTTTTCAGTGCGACCCCGAGATGGTCGCATGTCGCCCAACAGCCCTCCTGCGCCTCGGCGCCCGTCTGCCGGAGCAGTCTTGGAGCGACGAGCGACAGCAGACGGTGCTACGACACTTGATGACGGTGCTGCCAAGCCTTCAGGTTTCATGGGCCGAATGAAGAGCTTGAAGGGCCGAAGACCTCGGCCGGAAATCCCTGCCAACGGCACTGCGCCCGGGACGGCCGTTTAGTGGAGGACAAGTGCCGGGCGACTACTGGACGTTGGCCGAGGGCCGACGCGGTGGCAGTCGAAACATGGCAACCGGTCAGCGAATGAGAAGGGATGGGCTGCTTCTTTACCGATACGAGACCAGGAAAACACAGCGCCAAAGAAAGAGGATATGGATAAAGAAGCAGAGTACACGGAAGTGCAGGATTCGGAATCTTTCCTTTGTCAAGGGTTGGAGGCGCCACGCAAGAGCCTTGGTGATGGACGTCCTTCTTTGGAGAAGCGATATGAGAACGCAACGAGATGAGATGTATCCACCGGACAGGTTTTCTTTTTTGTCATTTCTTGTTGGTTTTTGGGACGGCAGGCAGCATGGATGACATGAAGCAGGCGCAAAGACAGGGCCTGCTTCTCGTTTTTTGGAGAACAAGTTGAGAGAGGCAGAGACTCTTTGAAGAAATGCAGATGCTAGTAAGGGCATGGAACTGCAGAGTTGACTGGAGGTTGTGGTCTAAACCTTTTGTATGTTTTATAACAGGACTTGATGTCTGACTGCAGCAGCAGCATCAATACAATCCATATCAATCTGCTACATGTTGTCTTGTGTTTTGTGAAGTGCTACGTTGAAGAGGACCTGTGCTACCCCTGAACTTTCAGTTAGTATGTATATGAGGATACGGACCACATCTCCCTATCTAATGGTTCAGTTACGTATGCTCATCCAGGATCTATTCTTGGTATCATGCCATGATAAGCAAAGAACACCATAACGAATACCATAACCTTGTATAGAAATCCTCAAGATAGACGGGGCATCTTGGCAGGAGCCTTCTAATTGGCTCAGATGACAAAACCCCACATCCCCACAACGTAGCACCCGCAATGCCGCAAATCCAGCATCATGAACACCAACCAACCACGACATCACTGGCACCAACCAAAAACCTTGAGAATCCACAATTGGGCTCCGGCAGAACATCGAGATCCCCTGGTTTCATGGTCTAACGGTTATGACTGCGGATTCTGATTCCGCCAGCGAGGGTTCGACTCCCTCTGAGACCTTTCTTTTTGCTCTAGCAACAGAGATTGTACTTTTAATCTTGGTTCAGATGAGTTGTTGACTTGAACTGTGTTGAGCCGTTGTCATGGAGTCGCTAGTTCCTGCCTCACAGGCTAGTTCGCATTTTGCGCTTGATCCGATCCCGGCGTCGGTTCTCGCTGACAAGGAAGCACGACGACGTGATGCTGCAGTCGAGTTGGGATATTGTTTGACGGGGTGTGCGGTTCTTGATGATGATGTCCTGCTGGGCGGGTTCGAGCGAGGCAGTGTCGTCGGAGTCAGCGCCGAAGACGAAGAGATGGGCGTTCAGGCAAGTTGAAGACGTGCTGATGCAGACCCGTGTTTGACCGCATTGCAGCTCGGTCTCCAGACTCTGGCGCATTCGCTGTGCGATGGGAGAATCGCCAAAGGGCTCGTCGTCACTCCCAAGCCGAGAAACGTCACGCTGGCTCGTTTGAGGGATGCCGTCAAGGCTGAACTCAAGTCTCAAGGTGTTGGTGGTGATGCCGCCAAGACCAAGTTGAGGGAGTGTCTTGAACGAGTCATGCTTTCGTGCGTTTTTGATCTTGATGGGTTGTGGGAGGTGTTGGCGGATCTTAACAAGCCGGCAGAAGAAGAAGTTGAAGAGGAAGAGGGGCAGGTTGAGGAGATACAGGACAGTCAAGATGATGACGACGAGGCTCTCTCACCAGTGGACAATGTTCAGCCGCCAAAGCAACAGACGACTCAACCAGGCATCATCGTCGTCACACACTTCTCGTCACTGCTGACCGGCGTCTTCACTCACCGTGAAAGGTCAGCCGCTCACTCTGTAATGGAGTCGCTAGGCTCACATCTACGCGACCTCTCACGCAACCTATCATCAAGCCCTCTGATAATGCTCTTAAATTCGACATCCTCTTCATCAGGTCCACCAACAGCGCAGCCAAAGAACACGCCATTGGATGCAACTCTCCGGTCCATATTCCACACAGCTCCGATAGGGCAAGGCCCTCAAAGTACGCGTCGCATAAAGCCCAACTATGGCATCGTCTTTTCGCAGCTACTCGACCTCCACCTGTTGTGTACCCGCATCCCACGGACGATGCAGGATGCCGAGGCTGCGGTACAGCGGCTTGGAGAAGAGGTTAGAATGGTGTGGGTAGTCGAGGTGCTGCAGGATGAGATAGGGGTTTGGAACGGGACAAGGGGCGATAGAAAAGTGAGGGAGCAGTTGTGGACGGCACTAGATGTTGAGCAAGCAAGAGTCAAGCCAGCGTTTGGATGAGAGAGTGGAACATCACAAGGACGCAATTGCAATTCAGACGCTCGCCGCGAGTAGGTAGATTACGCGCAATTATCAACGTCCACCCATTAATTCACTACGCTCCATCACAATGCCCCCAAGCTCCATGCCAACATCCAATCGCTTATCCTTCCAGAGTACAAGCTCGCTAACCCTTCTGTCTCTTGTCTGACATGCAGCATCTCTCTCATCTCATCTCATCTTGCTCGTCCGTCTACCACTCAACTTCAATTCACTCCACTCCTATCCCACTCTCAACACCTCTACCCCTACCCCCATCCGGTCGTTCGACGTGCTCTGTAGTCCGACATCGACCTCGCTCCTTGAAGCTAGGGAGTTGCTTGACCGCTGAAGAGACATCGCAACGTCTCAGACGCAGTTTAGCCCCATTTTCACATCGCCCAGCCAGGGAACGACGAGCGAGGTCCCTTGCCATGACTCTCCCCTGAGCATCTAGCACCCGGCAATGGCTCACGCCATAGTACTCGGGTGCCGCCAAATAATACAAAAAATCTTTCCAGAAAATACTCCATTTGCGTGCGGGCCGGTCCGTGACTATTGCTATGAGCCGAGCAACTCCGACTTACGGTTGCTCTTCCAAAAGTCAATGGCTTCGACCACGTCGTCTCCCTTTTCGTCCTCGTGTGCGAATAGAATCTATACATGATTAGCATAGTTGATAGTGTCAGCAGCTTTGTACTCACCTCATGTGTGCTGCTGTGAAGCATCCGAATATTCTTGCGAGGTACGATATGCACCGCGCCATTCTCCATGTTACGCAACTCGATAAAGTTGGGCTCAAAGGCAAGGATCCATGGGTAGCTGAGGGCAAAGTTCTGAGGCGTACCCTCCCAGTCGATTCGCCATTCTGGCCGAGCTCGCCATCCGTTGCGATTAACGAAGAATGAAAACTCAGAGTAGTTGAGCAGGAACTCGCCATTGAGACGCTCGATATGGATCGGCTTGACCCCTTCCTTGCGATTGACAAAGTCGAGTGACGTGTCTGCCTGGTCAAGCAGCGACTGCGTCTCAAGCGTCTCCAGAGAAACCACCTCGAAGCCTCTGGCGCAGGCGACGCACAACTTGGACTTAAGGAAGTGCACCGACGACGATTCAGTAGGAATGTAGAATTCCTTGAACGGCTTCAGCTCGTCGTGTCCTCCGCTCATGAACTTGCTGATACCCTTCTGCTTCTTGGCCTTGGTCATGGCATCGTTAGGCTCAAAGACCTTGATCGTGGTGGACAGGGCCGACGACTTGACACAGCACACCAGGTGCCTACCCAGGCAGATGCCGGTCTTGAAGAAACTGCAGTGGTTCTGGATCTTCTTAGGTCTCCTCACCGTCGCTGGCTCGTCGGGGTTGAGAGCTGACACTGGGTACGATTGTAGCGTCTTGTTGGACAAGACCAAGAGCAGCTGATACTCCTCTAGGATGTCAATCTGAGTGACAGTGGTCGTCTCCAGCACTCTCCTGGGTACCTGATCCTTGACCTTTCGATCCGATACGTAAACACCATTGTCCGTGCCATACAACAACTTGCGACCGCCATCTGCCACTCGTTAGCTAGCCATTTCCTCAACAACCCCCAAGTCGACTTACCAAAGGGCGTGACGCAGTTGACACGGTTTGTGCCAGCAAAGAACTTGCTCGTAATAGTCGTCGTGTTGAAAAAGTCGGCTCTTGATCGGAGACGTTCTTGGGCGTTATGGATGAACTCGAGCCACTTCTGTCGGGCTGCCTGGTTCGCTGCGTATAACGTCAACTCGTATCCTGCTTTGCCCAAATGGCGGAACGTGATCGGCCAGCCGTCCTTCTTTGCTGTATCGTTGGCATTGGCCCGGATCGAAGGAATCAAGCTTGACGAGGATCGCTTCATATTGCCATCCTTAGGGATCACCTCGTCCATTTCCCGGATGGCAAGAAGTTCCAGAGGAATTGGACGACGGTACGCCTTGATCTCCTCATTCTTTCCTGTTTGCTTGATACGCACCAGCAGGACCGCGTGGTCGAACAGGAAGGCCGTAATCTCAGCAGGATCTGTGGGCGACTTCTTGAACTGGCACTTAAACACCATCTCACGGCCTTCCTCAGTCAGTCGAAGGTCCACCTTCTCATTGGCCCTGAAGCGAAGCTGCTCGTGAAGCCTCCTCAGGTTAAATCGGTTCTCAGCCTTTCCAGATTCCGCGTTGACTCTGCCCAGGATGTCTCGAATCATGGTTAGGACCTTGGGGATATCTTCCTTATCGGGGTTACCATCCTCCGTGTATTTCAGCACGTTCTCCAGAAGGAGGGGATATCGAGCTAGACGCGTCGTAGGCTTGGTTAGGTAACCGTTCAGCTCCAGCTTTCTCGATTCCTTGCGACGCTCGATCTCGTCCACGAACTTGGCAAAGTACGAGTTCACCGATCTCTCATTTTCAAACTCGAACTTTCCCTCCAGCTGCTTGGAACCGTACAGAATGAAGGGCTCAAACTGCGGAACGTACTCCAAAAAGATGTCTCCAATGTTGTGGACGATGGGCTCCTTCTGCTGTCGAGTTGTCAAACCAGAAGCAAACCGCGAGCTGACAGTGTGAATACTCGGGTGGTCGATAATGTTGCTAAAGATGCCCTTGACCACCTTTTCACGGCGCTGGATCGGCACCGGCGAGGCCTTTGATCGCAAAGGCAAGATCCAAAAGTCTCGAAGATATTCCAAATCCTTGACAAAGTCTCGCTCGGTGTAGCAGATCTCCGAAATGACCTCCTGTCTCTTCTTCTCTCGCTCTCCAACCTTCTCGGCAACCTCCTTTGGAACCGAGTTGATCCAGAGCTTCTGCTCGTCCGTCTGGTCGGCCTCGTCGTCGTTGACGTTGGCCGCATCCTCCTTCCGCAGGCCAGGGTTAATCTTCAGGTTCAGCCTAGAAACCTGCTCCAGTCGCCGAGGACAGGCGATGGAGTAACACAGCTGATCCCTGGTACAGGTCGGAGAGTAACATTCAGACAAGAGCACAAAGACACCATTGACCGCAGGCTTTTCCTCTGGCTCATCCATCAGGGTCTCCCTAAATTGGTACATTTCCGACTGAGAGTCTCGCAACCGGTGTTCGTATGTGACATCGTGGAAGAACTTTTGGGCATCCAGCGCTCGGCCAAGAAGCAGGGCAAGGTTTCGATCCGTGGTTCTGATGATGTATGACAAGACGTCGACGGCCTCTGAACCGCTGAAAGCGTTCTTGTATGTCAGCTCGTTCTTGGTGCGGTCACCCGTGATGATCTTTCGGCGGAAGCATTCTGCGACTCGTGATAGCAGAGCCGGGTAAACGAGGGGCGGTCGGATCTTGGTTGCGGTCGGCGGACGCTCGCTCTCGATCGACTTGCTTCTAGAAGGTCGGTGGACAAGAGTCGAGGCGTCAGACTCGGACGGAGTGATGGTCGGAGCTATGGTGGAGGCCATGGACATTGTCCTGCTGTGATCGCCAGTGCTGGAAGAGACCATGCTGGCAGTACGGGTCTGTGCTCCTGGGGCCTGAGGGTGCGAATTGGAGTATCCGTTGGTGGTCGGTAGTTCTCCTGGTGCTCGTCGGTTGGGGATGACTCGGCCGCTCATTGTCTGGTGGGCGTCGCCCAGAGGGTGATAGTTGCCAGTCAAGGACATGGCACGATCTTCGTGACGCTCAGGCACAACCCGCCCTTGAGCTGTCGTCCTCGCCGAGTTTTGGTGCGAGTAAGGAGCCTGTCGGAAGTGATTTGCGGACTGCTGGTATGAGCTGGGAGGTGGATGATACAATGGTTGTCGGGGAGCAGAGGCAAGAGATTGGGAGCGATAAGGATCACTGTTCATGGCAGGGCCCGGCCCTGGCCCTCCCTGATAAAAGCGCTGTGCCGGTGTCCTTGCTCCCGCAGCTTGAGATGGCGGCGGGCCTCTATGCTCCATACGCGGAGGTGCCGGCCCTCCGGGACCAGGATAGGGACGCCTCTGTTGCTGTTGCTGCATGTAGTGGGGCGGTATCTGCTGGCCGCCCGACGCTGAGCGTTGACCGGCATAGTATCCATTCCCCATGCTGTTGCTGTCCATTGTGCGAGTCCTGCCAGAGTCACGATCGCCGTACTGACCCGGAGGAGGACGGGGCGGCGGCTGCCGCTGCATGCTCGACATGGACGACATGGTCTGGGTGCGACCGTCCATCATGGGCGGAGGCATGCCGGACGACGAGGTCATGGTCTGTGATCTCCCTGGCGGGGGAGCGGCGCCGAAGATGTTGGAGAAGGCGGCATCTCGCTGGTAGTTGTTCTCTTCGCCGTAACCCCGTTGTTGTGGCGGCCGTTGAGGAGCTCCCCGAGGATCGTAACCGTAGTTGGACATGTTGACGGATAATTTGCCTGTGCATTGACGCAGTCAGGAGAGGAAACGGACGCGGATATGGAACGTGGGTGAAAAAGGCAACGAACCGTTTTTGCAGCCGTCTGATGCTGGAGTCCGTTATCAAGCGGATCAACAGGCGACGTCGACGGATGCGCCGCCGTCAGTCGACGCCAACACGACCCCTTTGATGATACCGTCGATGCCGATGCGTGGGCCAGGAGTCGTCCGTCTACTGGCGTCGCAGATGCCCTCGCGAGGCTGCGCCCGTTGGGGTGGGAGTTGTGAGTCTCAGCAAGATTCGGGGCTACTTCTGCCCAAGCAGCAGTCGGCTTTGCGAGTTTGGGCTCAACGGGTTCGAGGGGGCGCTGGGGAGGCGGCCGGATGAGCAAAATGCCAAACTTGGGCCCTCAGTCCGGGGGCTCGTCGGCCGATATAGGGCGACGATAAAGATATCGCAGGCAATGGACGATCGCCGTTTCGACGTCTTGGTGACCCTCTGGTGATGGACTTTTGAGGGGGTTGCAGGTTCACGATCCACGCACTCTGGTGCTTCGGAGGTAGGTCGAGGTATGGAGGTAAGGTAAGGTAGCAGCAGCAAGTAGTAAGTAGGTAGGCAAGTGGGCAAGTGGACCGCGGGCAGCAGCGTCCACGTCCGTCCACGTCTTCTTCAGGTACCAGCACCAGCAAGCGTGCTATGGACTGTACGTACAGCGGGCAGGTCCAGTGGCAGTGGACAGCGCGAGCAGGGCAGGGCACCTCAGGGAGCCAACAGCGGATAAGCCAGGGCAAGCCAGTGCTAGGTCCACCGTAAATCCACCTGTGTGATGGCGGTCTCTTGGTGGCCTCTTGAGCGTGGTGGGTGACTGGGACTGGGGGCGGCGCAATCCAATGTAATGTGGGCGCGCGCCGCGATGGATGGGCAGTTATTTAGTACAAAGTACGGAGTAAGGGGACAAAGGATGCTGGGGTAGCAGTGTAAGAGAGCATGGATGTGCACCGACGGCACGACGAGGGTGTTAGGTTGCTGCCCAGGAGCGGTCCTTGCCAACAGTCCAGTCCCTCATTGAGAGCTGCCAGAGACTGCTGTCTGTAATAGGTAACGTCGTGACCGTCCTCTCGTGATCCTGAGGCCTCTTTCTCATCCCCATTCGTTCACGTGTGTATCTTTGATTGCGCTGGGCTGAGCAACTTCGGTGCGCTTTGTCTTGGGGCGTACCGAGGAGGAGCAGCTGGCTCGATAAACTCTCCACGGGAATCACGGCAATTCAGGTAGCAAGGGGACAAGGCGCTGTAGGCAATTGTACCGTACGTGAGTGTGAGTGAACCTCCTTGCTGGGGATGGAGGGTCGCTCATCAAGGGCCAAGGGGCACGCTAGCAACCGTTGATTCCCTCTTTTCTGCCGCTACGTCCATCCTTCCTTTCTGCCTCTATCTGTCGTCCGTACGTCCTATGTGTTGTTTTATCTTGGCTTTAACCAAGGCGGTGAAGGCAGCTGCTGAACGAGCAAACCTCGTCGCCTCTCCCAATGTCTTATACACATCTTATTTGAGTTCCAAAAAGGAACTCGTCCCTGCCCGAGGCCTTAAAATCAGGTACCGCCGGCTGCCCCGGGTCATCAACTTGCCTATGAGGAGAGACCAAGCGGACCAGGCGAACCACGCGGCGAGGTGACCGCCCGCTAACAGGCCACCCTGGAAACGGACCGTCAGTCAAGATAAAAATAGCGATTGCCAGATATAAAAAGATGAATTGCTGAAGGAGGCATCCAACTATCATCATGGCATTAGCAGCGGCAGTCAATCTCCCGCTCAGACGGATTGAAATTGCAGGTGTTAATAGTTGCGAGGCAGTCGTGGACAGGGGGTTGCTTGAAGTTCAGAGCCGGCCTTGGCACTTGACCAGTGTCACGTGATTAAGCGTGGAGGCTGTCGGTCCGTGATTGGCTGCGCCGGCTTAGCCCAGAGTGGCTTTCCACCTCAGCTCCCAACTCTCTCTGGTAGCCTTGAGGTAGGAGGCTACATCATCAACAAGCTCCCAACGTGAACCGAAAATCGTCAAAGCTGCCCTTGTCCCCGAGCTCCTCCGACGGCCGCGCTCCCTCACCATGGCAGAATCAGAGCTCGCCCCCAAGTTCGCCCCCTTCATTGGGATGGTAAGTGTCGCGCTGATGACGACTTCAAGGGGGACGCGAATGCTGATGCAGCGACTGGCAGGCCGGTATTGCAGCTGCAATGATCTTCGGATGTACGGTGTTTCCTCTACGCGACGCGATATCATCGAGCCCGATTGCTGAACGAATTTGACAGGTATTGGCGCTGCATATGGCACAGCCAAGTCCGGTATTGGCATTGCTGGTGTCGGTACATTTCGACCAGACCTCATCATGAAGGTATCAACCATCGAGTCTCGAATACGCCATGCTCATCATCTGACGCACGCTCTAGTGTCTTATCCCCGTCGTCATGTCCGGTATCATTGCCGTATACTCGCTCGTCATCTCCGTCCTCATCGCTGAGGATCTGGACCCGTCCAAGAACTACAGCTTGTTTTCGTACGTCGTCGATAACGTCCGGCTAGGCAGGAATACTTATTAACGGTACTAGGGGCTTTATGCATCTTGGATGCGGTATCGCAGTTGGCATGACAGGTCTTGCTGCTGGTTACTGCATCGGAATTGTTGGTGACAGTGGTGTTCGTGCTTATATGGAGCAGTCCAGGATCTTTGTCGGCATGGTCCTGATCCTGATTTTCGGCGAAGTTCTTGGTCTTTACGGGTATGTATTTACCAGCACACATGTGACGTCGTTCACAGGCTGACCCTGATTACAGTCTTATTGTTGCTCTTATCCTCAACACCAAGAGCAAGGGTTAAGCGGACCAGCTCGAAGCCACAACACCCTATTCACCCAACCCATCAGAAGAGTTCGACGTGTACGTTGAGGATGTCGGGACTGCCACAAGGCTACAGAGGCACGTCTTTGTATGTACATCGGCATGGCGTTTATGGAACCTTTAAACGTGTATTTTTCAATCAGGTAGAGGACAGGCGGAGAAATTGACGGTATTTAGCATCAGCAAGCACAGTGTCAAGACCTGCATGACATCTTTGTGTGTGAGACCCTGGTTGTTTGAAAGTCCATTTGGTTGAGCTACCTAATTGTTCCAGCCTATCGAAAGCCTCAGAGCCCTATGTGTGGAATGAGTGACAAGGAAGAAGAAGAGGAAATGCCTGCGACGATCCCATTTACGCCGTCATTTGGAGCTCATAATCAAAAGCCAGAGAACCCTGTGTTCCCATGTCATGCGTCATCCAGGACCCAATCTAGATGATCAAACGCCGAGGAAAATGCGGCAATGTCGTTTCAGATGCAACCGGCAAACGTCGACTCCGACACAGCAGCAGCGTCCCAGCGCGGCGAGAAGAGAAGAAGACGATAATCATGAGACCCGTGGAAGGAAGGGAAGATACCTAACATGAGGAAAGATGCCAAGGGAAAGATGAGAGAGAGAGAGAAGTCGGAATCACATCAAACGGCGACCACCGATACGGCGCAGGAGCTTTTTACGGCTTCCCACCTCCACGTCACGGCGGAACCTGGTCCAGTTCCGCTCTCGCTCGTCCGAGTCCTTCATTCGAGCTATTTGAGTGTCAGCATACGCAACTTGCTGCGAGATGTCTCCTCCTGATCTCACCTAAGAACCAGTCCCACTGGCGGTCCTCGCGCAAAAGGATGTCGTCTCCCGACTCGCGCGCGATTCTCTCCTGGCGTGCCCTCGCCGCGGCGACTTCACCAACCAAGTACGGATCTTCCAGAGGCCGGGTGGTATTTCCCTGCTGCTGGTCTTGCTCGGTGAGGTCGGTCATGACTCGACGAAGGCTGTCCACTGGATCGCGTGTCTGAGCAGTCATCCGACGCTGAGCAACATTATGGTAGTGTCGAGCAGCAGGGTTGCTGGTGACCGAGGACCATGTTGCGATGCGGAAGTTGTTCAGGTTCGGCACGGATCGCAGAGGAGCAGCGGGCACAGGAGGGAGACCGATCGTCCGCTGGCGGTTGGTGGGAGTAGAGGTTCCGCTGCTATGAGGAACGAGAGACGTTGTTCGGGGTGCGGCTGTATTTCTGACTGGAGGAGAATACGGCGGTACAGCCTCGGGAAACGGGTTGATCGAGTGGTAAGAGGGCGCTTCCGAAACTGAGGCACACCAAAGTCAGCTCCCGATCTCGTGCAGGCTTCCCAGTAACTTTGAGCTACGTAGAGGTATGTGGTTTATGACAGCCTGTGCAAAAACACCTCAACACTTACCATAAGAAGGCGCAGCAGAGCGAATGGAAGCCGTCTCAAAGTCGTCACGGCTGTAGCGCGACGTAGCGATAGCACCCGTCATGATGGTAGAAGCCGGAAAGGACACGGTCGAGAAAGCGGAGGGGGGGCAGTACAAGCCAGCTCGAGCATCTGTCCCAAGAAAGGTTGTCGAGAGACTGAAGTTGAGTATAAGTACCGAGACAACAGGAGAATCACACGGCGAGCGGCTGGGACGCTTCAAGGGTCCGTGAACAGTCAGAGGGTGAGTTGAGTGAGACCTGTCAGAGTTGCGGGAACCAGGAATGATAGCCTCTTTTGTTCTGGCCCAAGGTAAGACAGGAGGGTCAGGATACCCAGCTGTTTAATGCACAGCCGCGGATAAACATGCATGCAGCTCAGGGAGGCAGCAGATGGTGGGCAGCAAGCGACCTGGAGAAGCACCAAGTCGGCAAGTATGGAGTACACGGCACGGGCTGGGAAACCCAGTACTTCGGACAAGTTCCAAGTTCAAGGCCAACCCAGGTCTAGCCTGGGCATCCGTAACCCATCGTGGCGTGGGAGCCATGGCGTGGAGGTCGGAGGGGGTTGAGATGCGGGGACACGTGAGAGCAGACACGACGATGATGCTGTGGACGACAACACCATGACGCGCCGCCCAAGACATGAACCAAACTTTGCTCCCTCCTTGGATCCTGTTTAACAGGTTTGTTATCTACGCCCGTTTGTGTCACGAGCGCTGTGTCTCTCTCCTTGGCGACAGTATCTACACAGCGGCGACGACTCAGGCCTCCAAACTAGTCGGCTGGTAGACATGTGCTGTACGGTAGCATCCCCTCGGGCAACCCTCAGGGCTTCCCCTGACCGGGCGTTTTCCCGAGTTGGAATGACGAGCTTCCACGGAGGCTTCTACACGGCGGTAGCGGGGTATCACAAGTGGTTTTCCGGGTCTCGAGGGACCACCCGCCAGTGTTTCTGCCCGCTGTGAATGGCGGGGTTCTGGCCGCGGTGGATCATATTGATCGGGCTGTGTGCGCAGGGGGGAGGGGCAGCATGGAGTTGTCGTGGTGGGGAGGTCGAGAAGCCCAGGGCGGCCAATCGATAAGACGTCGACGGCCCTTTGAGGGAGGCCCTGTCCACCACGGACGGCGTGGACGGATGTTGAATCCGGTTTGTTGGCGAGCCTAGACTTGGCGGTGTTTGGAGCCCAGATGCTGGCAGGTTTGTGGTCGACTTGTGGGGGCTCTATGATGCAGTTTATGCCGAGACTGCCTCGCTAATCCTGCTTTTATATCCGTTTTCTGCCGTCGTCGAACATGGCGAGAAGAAGCAGCTCCTTGGCTGACCATGCCGAGCAAGCTTCTTCATCGTCGCTGATCGCCCCTAACCTCCGTGAGCCGCGTGGTCGGGCCGGCCTATGATGCAACACTTGATAGACCTTTTGGGTGTAAAGAGGATGCGCTATGTGACACCCAAATCATCCTTGCGCAACACCATCAGCCCAGGCCCGACTTGGCAACCCCTCCCCCCACACGTCGCCCTCGGGATGGCGGATCTGGAAGATGTGGTGTCGTGCTCTCTGCGCTCTAACTCAGTTGATGGGCTTGTTGTAAGCTTCCGCGCCAGCCATTGGTACTTTGGGCATTTGGGCTTGCGCCTACTCGAGCAATGACCGCCAGATCGAAAGGGTGGGCTGGAGAGATCACCAGATAACTGGGACGTTGAACTTGTGACTTGTATGCGTTGCAGATGCAGGAACCGGTTGCGGGAACGTTGTGAACCATCTCGAGATCCCTATCTTGGAATATCAGCCGCCACAGCCTACGGTAATCTTTTCCCGCTCCCGAGTCATTGCGAGAAACCAAGTCGATCAACCGCATTCCTCCAGAACGGAGAGTTTGGCTGGGCTCGGCACAAATTAATAACTCAGGGACGAGCCCCCATGGAACATGGAGCGGCGTCCAGACCGCCCCGCCGAACTGGTGGGATGGTTCATATTGAAACTGAACCAACCTCCCCCATGGGTATCTGCTCGAACCGTCACAAATAGCATGCTGCCCTTTGGTCGAGAGCGGTGAGAGTGCTCTGCTGACATGCGTCAAAGTTGCATGCCATGTCTCGCTCTGAAGGCGCCATATGGAACGGCGCTTTGGACCCTTGAAGTCGAAATGGTGCTCGGCCGGGGTATTTTGCACTTGTTTCTGGAAGGTGACCGGAAATGCCCGCATCTGTGCCGCGGCCAAGACCTCGGGACCATTTGTTTGTTGATAAGGTTACGTGGCGGCCTCGGGACAGGACGAATGTTAAGGCCTGCGTGTCTTGCAGACGATTAGTTAACCAACGGCGCCCGGGGCCAGATTTGTTGGGGTCTTGGAGAGATCCTGACTTGTCTCGTGGACGTGGGCGTTGCTGTTAGGCCTGAGCACGTGCGGGCGAACAGACCTCTTTAGGCCTATTGCCAGGTCAGGCGACAGTATTTGTGGTATTTCTGAAGAGATGAGAGCCATCAGAGTTGAATGTAACGAAAGCACACTAGATTTCGCACGCTGATATGCTCATGGCTCTTTCCGTATCAACTCTTTCTAAACGATGCTGCCATGGATGCTGTGTGCGAAGTGAGATGAGCGGGGAAGCATGGGGGACGTTTGCAAGGACTTGGGTATGGATGTAAGCAAGGTAGGCAAGTTGGTAAGGAAAACATCAGCAGCCGGGTAGGTATTCTTCAAATGTGAAAAAATCGGCGTGCTCTATAATAAGTCCTCCCTTGCTCCTACATTCATACCTACCCAGCTGGGTAGGTAGGTAGGTAGACTCCAGCGTCTTTACCCAAGATATAGATTACGAAGAGTGAAGATGCTACTCAACTGGATTTGAAAGCAACAACCTGAAGGTATCAAGCAAAGAGCTACTGTGTCTTGGCAAGATAGGAAACTACCTAGATTCCTTCTCGGTGTAGTTTTAGCCGAGATTCGGATTGCGATACACACTTTACCCCCGGACCGTTGATACGTGAACTTCTCAGTGGGATGCTGTTCTGAAATCAGGTGGTCCGTGCACTGAACAAACTGCCCCGCGAAGTCGTCCCAGCTGCCTGCCCGTCCTGTGTCTGAGGGCGTTAATTGAGGTACGTACTCTGTACTTCTACGCGTCTTCTATCAGTTTTACGCGACCTCCATGTCTACCAATGCCCTTTGTTCCACCTTCGCAACCGTCTACTGTCAGCGTGACAGTGTCTTCACGCCTCTCCATTGAAAGACGAAAAGGCCGAGAGGGCCATGAGCCGACTCATACTCGAGTAGATTTGCAATAGAAAAGCTCAAGAGCTAACCACGCCCCGATGCCCACCCGCCAACAAGACTCCTCTGAAGAGGAGTCGCATTCGCGATCGCCAACGCCTTCATCACGAGCTACACCGGCACATCGAAGTCTGGCGATGCGAGAGCGAGAGAAAATGCGCAGTGCATCTGCCTCTAAGAGAAAGCGCGCCGACACGAGAACTGGCGAATCCTCAAATTTCCGAAGGAGGACGGTAGAGCCATCGGCAGATAGCGACGATGACGGAGACGACGTGTACGATCCTGACCAGCCATTGGAAGAACGCCGCAAAGTCCAGCAGGGCTTCAGAGACCTGCTTCGTGAGGTGACCGAGAATACCGAGGAATATCTGCAATCCGACTCGCGAGGACTACACGATGCTATTCTTCGAGCGGATGAGCTGTCCAAGAAAGTACGACAAACCACCGAGGCAACGATCGATTCACGGCTGCTCGTCAGCACTACCGACCTGTCATATCGAAAGACCCTACGGCTGACCCAGGGCAGCCTTTCCCAAGGTCTTGATGTGGATGAGTTTGTGTCAAAGTGTATCACCTACATGAGACAAGGCCGTGGCATCATCGATGACAATGCACCAGAATTGTCGAGTACTCAGCGGCAACGAAGAAGACCTACCAGGGGGGACGAGGATGGCGAGGACGATGTTGGCGATGATGGCGATATGATGAACTGGCCTCATCTTGGCCGTTTCGCTTCATTGCCCTACATACGCCGGCCAGCTCTCCCTGGATTCCTCCTTGGTCCGCTCTCAGTTGAAAAGAAGGCCCGCAAGATTACGAAACGAAGCGCGCCCTTCCGACCCAACAACTTGACAGAGACCCGCCCAGAGGTTCTGAACGTTGAGGATTTGGCCAAGAGAGAAAATGATCTTACTGCAATCTGCGGCAAGATCCTCCATCAACTACAGAACATCCAAGCCGATATCCAACAGACTGTGATGGATCTCATCGATGATGACATGGATGAGGACGAGAAAACCAGGATCATGCACAACCATGGCCTTCGAAGCACTGGTGGTATCGATCTGATGCGGTTCGTTGTGAATCCCAAGTCGTTTGGGCAGACAATAGAGAATATGTTCTATGTCAGTTTCCTCATTCGAGATGGGAGGGTCGAGATCGATTTTGATGAATTCGGCCTCCCAGCCCTAGGTGAGTTTGCCTGCCACGAAAAACCTCCAATAACTAACACGAATTGCAGCCCCGGTGGATAGAGAAGTCGAAGAAGAAGAGCCTACACGCCATGGCGCCGCGAAGCACCAAGCGATTCTTTCAATGGACATGGAGACTTGGCGTGATATCATTGACACATTCGGCCTACAAGAACCAATGATTGCGCATAGGAAAGAAGCGACGAACACAGGCCCCGGAGCGCGGGGTTGGTACAGCTGAGGGAGGAGCAGCTACTCCAGCTAAGACGAACCGAGCCTCGATAGCTCGAATCGTATTGTCATGAAAACCTTGATACCCTTGTTGCCCTCGGTGGGCAGCATCTCGGAGAAGGCGATGTTTTGGCTTGTGCACAGCCTTCTGTCGCACCAGAGAGGCGCATCTTCTTTGTTCTCATCACCCCCTACTTGTGGATACAATAAGGAGGGAGGTGTGTCTGATCCATGTTTGACCAAGGCGTGTTTCTTTGACAGAGAAGGCTTGCAGTTAGAGAGGGGGCACACTTTATTTTTGGCGCACGGGGCTCAACATGAAAGGAATCTGGAGTCAAAGAAACTGTATAGACAAAGACCTTCCCTTGCATGAGCACCTCGGCCACAGGGAATCTCGTTGAGGTGAATGTCAATGGGCTTTCTCCTTCAAAAGAGGGGGCTTCTCGTCTTGACCAAGATAATCTTGAATATTCCAAGACTCTCAATTTTTCTCACAACGCCTCACCAACCCAGAAAACACCTTTACTACTTTTTAATTGCCGATCTACCTACTGAGATACTGACTATCTTGCAAATCTCTTGTATTCTTCGTTACAATGCGCCCCAAAGGAGACCGACACGAGGGTGAACCGGAGGAGGAGCAGTTCCCTGCTGTACAAGCCAGAAAACCGGAAAATCTTGTCACGGAACCCTTTATGCAGCAAGTCGATAACCAGCTGAAGCGAACACTTGCTAGGCTCGAGGGGACGAAGAAGGGCACCCTATCCAAGTTGGGTCGACAGGTCGAGGGTATTGTTCGTGACGCGACGCCTGAGAGTCGCGATGAGGTCCGCAAAGCCTTGGAGGTGATGCAACATGTCACCAAACAATATATTGAAGCAGTTTTTGAGGAGGCGGTCGACGCCTCGCGAAGCGACTCCCAGTCCTTTCAGGATATTCTGATTGAGCTGGATTCTGAAATGAATAACCGACATGAAACGGAGATGGCAGCGCTTGAGAAGACGCTGGGGGAGGCCCAGCAGACAGACGCAGTTTTCGGCGAGCCGACTACCAAGCCTCAAGCGGGTTGCCGAGGCCGTGGCGCGCCTACCATGCCCTCCCGTACCAGCACTGCTGGTAGCTCTGATAAAGCCTTTGAAGACATGTTTGGTGGCGCAAACCAACCCAGAACATCGGCATGGCAAAGTTCCCATCGGCCCCCCAAACCAACCGCAAGAGGCAGTTTCAAGTCGTCGCAAGGCCAGAACAAGAACAAGAACAAGAAGTTTTCGTTCCAGTGGGACAGGGGAGGAAGACGTCAGGGCAGTGTCGATTCGGTGGGGATTGGAAGCGAGTCCGAATCCAAGACTGAAGTGCCACTCGAGGCCGATGATCTCAAGTCTACCGATTACGAGGATCTGGACCCGATGATGCGAAGCCTCCTGGAAGCAGGGGAGGATCTTCATAAGGAGTTTAAGAAGGACGCCAGCAAAGCTGGTACCGAAGAGTGGCAGGCTGACATGGAATACGCCGAACTTCAGGAACAGCTCAACCAAGCTCTGTTGGAATACAACAAGCAAAGGGGTATGGTGGTGCAGAAAGACCAGTTGATCGACGGACTCAGGGAGGAGGTCACCGAGCTCAAGAACAGCAACCTAGATCTCACCGCGAGCCTGGAATCCATGGGTCGGGCCCCCAGCGCAGGCGGCGCTGGCACTCCCATCCCAAGTCAATTTGGTCGATTCCAATCCGTGACATCTTTTCCTTTCAACAGCGCTGGGGGCTCTCCTGGCACTAGCAATGTGGCCTGGCTCAGCATGTGGCTTCCCAAGGCCGTTCGGCTGCAGATGGAGACAACCAAGGCAGCCATTAAACGCTGCGACGCCGAGGAAAAGTCTTGCACTGAGAAGATGTTGCAACTCGGTGGCGGTAGGCAGACAAGCAAGGAGAGGGATTGTCTCACAGCCCGACGGAGCTCATCAGAGAAGCATCGTCAAGATTTCACACTGATCAAGGGCTTTTTGGAAGAGCTATCAGGCCACTCGAAGAAGAGTGAGAACAATCTTGCAGATGAGCTCTCGGGAATAGGGTCGGCTGAGTCGATTGAGACTGTGAAAAAGATGCCAACTCCTGGCCAGACTCCGACTGGTAATGAAAGCAGTAAGAACTCATCCTCTGGGTCTGTATTTTTTGAGTCTCAGGGCCGAGATGCTTCGACATCGCCCAAGGAGTCTTCCAACGAGGCCCATGGCCCCTCGAAATCACCCAAGAGGCAAGGCAGTACACCAAAGGTACCATCACCTCTTGCAGAATCCCACACTCCCCAAGCAAGCGAGACTGCTCCCGAAGCAGGCAACGCTCCTCTTCCAGCAAGTAACACTGCTGCCCGGGAAGTTCCCCTAGAAGGCAACAACGAGCAGGTGAGGGAACCAGCCGACCCTGAGAACGCAACGCAAAGGGCGGTCGAGACCATCGACTCTGGGGTGCTTGGGATGTGGTCCTTTTTTGCCCATGCTGGCCTGGTTGCCATGACACATGCAGGAGCCTTTGTTCGCGTCAGCAAGTTCATCCTCCACATCTTCACTTACATCATGAACCAGATCAGCAGGGTGGTACGTCTGATGTGGCCGTTTAGCCGTGCCGCAGAAGAGGAGTCGCCGGCACCAACGCTTCCTAAGCTGCCATCGCCTGAATGCTTCATCGTCGTCATGTACTACTGCTCGGCCTTTCTGACATTCCAGGTGTACATGGCAACCCAGCGGGAGAGGCAGATCTGGTTCGAGGCCAACGGGCTGACGAGAAAGTACATGCTGGAGCGCAGCCGGGGTGAGAGTCTGTGGCTCATCTACGGGGTAGATGGGAACCTGATAGTGGGAAGGAAAGATGTCGAGGACTCTTTCAAGCTGGTTTACTTGCTTGGGGTGAAGAGTGTGCAGCACTTGTATCGTTTAGCACAGGGCACGCCGCCTTGAGAGGGAAGATGTGGGAATTGGGCCAGCAGTGTTGGAGTTCTATGCATGTTTGTTGATTGTATCTCGGTCATGTTTGGGGTTGATGTGTAGGTCGGAAATGACTATTTTGTTTAGTCTAGGTTAGTGATACTCAATACCTATGTTATCATTTATTCTTGGATAGGCACAACTAGGAATTGAATTTGGAATTGGTGACCAGGGTTGATTGACAAATTATGCTTGATGATCCCTTATGCACCCTGTCTCGGACCCGCCGCTTCTGCAGGTCCGCCCGCTTACAACGGCGTACGTGCTGCGTATTACTCACATGCACTAACGTCAGTTTTTAGTTGATAAAACCTTTTATTTGGAATTGAAGCCGACAGCCACATGGCACCATTTTACACATGAATCATGGCGCAGTAGCCCACTCGATTGGAGCAGTTTAAACACAAATCTCTCCGTGCCTCGGCAATTAGACAAATCAAGCCCGGTGCCGGGGTGCCTGAATCGGCCGAACCCGTGTCTTTCATCCCTGTTCTGAAAGCTCAAACGGGTTTAACTAGGCCGAGAAACTTACCGCAGGTTTATTGATGTCATCACGAATCAACAATTTGCATTTGCATTACCAAGCCCTTGTTTCTTTTCTTCTCTGGAAAAAAATCACTATCTCTTGTTTGCCATGTTGCGTACCTCGGCGAGTCGGCCTCTGTATTTAAACACGTCTCACCTCCCTGCTTTGCATAAATCCTTATCTTTACAGACACCACTGCAGCAACAACAACAGCCACCAACCATTCAGCCAGCGCCAAGCCTTGCATACAGCAGCCCATCATCTTCAGCTCGAGGTTCCAGCGTCTTCCATCTTCAGCCCTCGACTTCAATTAAAAGACCCAGAGTCATCCATCCCATCTCGACTTGTTCTCAAACACGCACTTTTACCCAGTCACGCCATACAGCAGCAGCATCAACAGCAGCCATGTCGTCAAAGCTCATCCCTTCAAAGCCTGAGGATGTCATGGTCATCCGCAACGTCACTCCCAACATCGCCACCTTTTCAGTGCCCTTTTCCCGCTATGGAAAGATCAAGATCGGCGGCCGGGGCACCTTGGTGAAGCTCACCTCGGGCAGCCTCGCCGTCTTCTCCCCCGTGGCCCTCACCGAGGCCGCCAAGGCCAAGGTCACAGAGATGGGCGGTGACGTCCGCTACATCGTCGCCCTCGACTTTGAGCACCACATCTTTGTCTCTGAGTGGGCAAAGGCGTACCCCTCTGCAAAGCTCATCGGTCCCGAGGGTCTCCCTGAGAAGCGCGCCAAGCAGCAGGACGATCCCAAGATCGGCAACGAGGAGTTTGCCGTCGTCTTTAAGAAGGACAACAAGCGCGAGATCCGCATCGACCCCGAGTTCGACGCCGACTTTGACTACGAGTACGTCGACGGGCACGCCAACCTCGAGATCGTCTTCTTGTACAAGCCCGAGCGCGTCGTCATCCAGGCCGACCTGCTCTTCAACCTGCCGCCCACCGAGCAGTACAGCAAGGTGCCCGAGGCTGAGGTTCCTCAGGACGGCGCCATCGGCAAGGTCTTTGCCTGTGTGCAGAACCCTCGCGGTGACGTCAAGTGGCTGAGGCGTTTCAACTGGTACGTCGCATCCAAGGACAAGAACAGCTTCAACGAGAGCATGGGCCGCATCGCCCAGTGGGATTTCGCCACCATGATTCCCTGCCACGGAGACGTCATGGAGGGCGACGGCAAGGAGATTTTTCAGAATGTGTTTGAGTGGCATCTCCATGGCCACAAGTGAGAAGTCACTATGAAGTATTGATGCATGATGTATTAGCACAGAGGAGTTGGACATGAGAATGTGTTTTGTTGATACCAGGATGAATGGGTTTTAATGATGGGATATGAACTTGCAGATTGTTTACCTCAAAATAGTACCTAGGCGATAATTCCAATGACCTGCATATCTTAAGTCTTCGTTTCAATTCGCCTGGCTAGTTATACATGACGTTTTGAGTCAACATAAACATTGTGGCCTCTCTTGATAGGCAAGATGATGGAAGTAGACAAATGTGGTATATAAATTATCACGCTCGACTAACATTTTCGCAAAGCTCATCCGTGCTCTTGCCGCTATTTTTATCAGCTTCTGTCAAAACACTCCCTTCAACATTAACGCTCCTCCTGACCATTATCCGGCCGAGTACATTCTGTTGATTCTGCGGTGGCTTTAGAGACGACGTAACTGTAGATCTCGTTCTCACTCTCTCCAAACCCACCGCCTCGGGGCCTTCTATTGAGTGCTTTTTGCCCTTTGCCGAGCGTTCAGGTGGTACCTCGACAAACCCAAACATTGGTGTCTGTCCCGAGTCTGCGGGTTCTCCGCCGTGTTGTAGAAACTCGATAAGCTTCCCCAGCACGGCGAATTCAAGCTTAAGCTTGATCGAGTACATGACTACCTTGAGTCCCTGCTGCCATAGATAATGGCCCATGAACTCAATGACAAGCAATGCGATATCCATAATAACGATCAGAATGTTGATAACAAATAACTGCCGCATGATACGGCGTGTACCTCCGAGTGCTGTCTTGAGGATATCAAGGGTCTTCCAAAGGTATAGCCCAGAAATAATAAACTCTTGCACGCAGAAGCACGTCATGTGAACCTTTTCCAGAATGTTGAAGATGGGATTGTAGCTGGCCCTCCCTTCTCGGGGACGATAGCTGACTGTGAAGAGTAGGACGGTCATGGTGGTATGCCAGACGACAGCGTTGAAGATAATCATCCACTTGACGGCCAAGAGTATACGGTCGTTATCCAGGACCAGGTGAAGTCGAGAGTAGAGGACCAATGCCTGCCCAGTTATCAAGAGTATCCAGCCGATATCGCTGATGAGTATTCCGGCGACATCGCCCGCGAGGTCGAAGTAGTCGATTAGCCAGCCAACCGCATACGGGACCACGCCGAAAGATGCCACGAGGAGACTCCAAAAGTATAGGCCTCTGAACCGCTTAAAGGTCGTGAAGATGAGGGAGAGGAGTTCGATGCCATTGTATAGGGATACGGTCGTACAGGTCTATGGGGACACCATTAGCTTGGGGAATAGGGAGACGGTGCAAGTGCCGCACAATAACCATTACTGCCTCTGGGGTATATCTCCCGTCAGCTCTCCTAACAAGCTCGCCATCGCTATGGGTCAGAACAGTCATGCTTTTGCCTGCTTCAGGCGGAACAATTTCGCGTCATGGGCCGCTGCTGCGGTGGGGGAACACCCAGGTGAAAGGAGATGAAGAATAGGAAAAGCAAGTCCTCACTCGTTGGACACAAGAGACTGCTGGTGACGATCCCACGCTGCACGTGCCCTAGCTAGTCTCGCCAGGCAATCCGGGGTAGTTATGGGTCCGGGGAAGAGTGGGCAGGCCGGGGGAGGGACCATGGAGGCTAGGGCCGTCATTTCAGCTCAAGCATGTCCTCCCTCCAAGACCATTGCCTCAAGATACAGAGTGGCTGCCCTTCAGGATTGCCACAAGGTTCCGGCCAACCGGTTTCGGGTCTAGCATTCCTTCAACGAGAAACGGGCGAGACGTTGAAGGTGAGGGAGAATGTTTTGGGGGGGACTATTCTTGGCACAGCGTTGGATCCATCCATTCCAGCCCCGGCGAGTTTTTGCTGGAAATGGCTGCAACGGCAGTTGTGTGCCGTGAGTGGACAGCCTGGGTGAGTGCCAAGAACTCAGCTTTCAGCGCAATGCGAGGCACGTGAGATACATCCTGGGATCCATCAGGGGGTGATTTTTGATACGTGAATCCATTAATGTGAATATTGATGGATTGACTCTAACTCACCTAATCCCTATGCAGCCTGTGATGCAATGAATATATCTACCTAACTATGTGGTTCCTTTGTACACTCTAACAGACTCAATAGGTTGCTGGCAGGGTATGACCGGAACTTGAAGTATGTATGCATTCAAGTTCTGTGTTGAATGACCGTGAAAAGGGCACTCAGGAGGTTATTCGGACTTCTAATAATTAATAGATTTCAAAGACACTTATCTTATGCAACATGAAACTCAGACTGCTCAACTCGAGCTCTTTTCACTGCCCGTCTCATGACAGCCGCGCGTGATGGCCCGTGCACCACCTGCAACTCTTATCTTATCGCCGTGCAGGCAGTGACCAGGAGCCATGAGCGCATCCATCTGCCATCTTTCATCCCAACTCAATCTTGACCTTAAGAACTCCGCGCGCATTCTCACCTCGACTCTCTGTTTTCGCAGCATGACTTGACCCATCATGTCTGAGTACGGGCGCATGGACCCGTTCTCCTTCGCGGGCTCCAAGGATGTCCATCATCCTGTGAGCATTCGCATGTGCGACTCCCCCTCCACAAACACCCTAGGACTTGGCTAACATGCGCGGTAGAATGAACCTTGAGGGCGAGGAGCCTCCATTCAAACCTTCGACTCTTCTCGAGAAACCCGAACTGCGACACGTCGGCTCAAACACGAGGTAGCGCAGTCGTCTCTTACCATTTGCGCATCCACTAACGTCAGCTTCCAGCTCCCACTCCGACCTCTACGTCACGGTTCAGGTTTGGGCCGGCTCCAAGCCCTTGACTGTACCCGTTCAGACCGCCTACAAACCCTTCCGAACCGAGCGAAAGTATGATATCCCATAACCCGCCGCTCATGCAGAGCGTTTATTGATCAATGGAATAATAGGTGGAACGAATGGCTTCAGCTACCCATCACATACGATTCCCTTCCGCCCAACTCATGCTTGGCCATCACAGTATGGGACCTATCGCCGACCGGTGGGACAGGAGCGCTTGGCCATGCTATTCCATTTGGCGGCACCACCTTGCCCATGTTCGATGAAGATAATCAAGCGCAAAAGGGTAGGCAGAAGTGCCTCGTTTACCGTCACAAGCACGCAGATGGCACAGACAACACAGCAACTCCCGCCCTAATCTCGAATAAAAAGAGAACAACATCTCGCAAGGGACCGCTTCCTCCTCTGGATAAAGACGCAGAAGAGTTGGACCGGATGGAGACTCTGTTCAAGAAGCACGAGATGGGCGAAATACCCCGTGTCGATTGGCTAGACCAGATGGTCTTTCGCAGTTTCGAGAAGCGAGGCCTTCAAGCCGCAAAGTCATCGATGCAGATGCTCCAGCGACAGCGAGCAATCAACGGAGAGACCGACCTCAATGGTCGAGATAAAGAGAAAAGCGAGGATGGGCGACCAGGTCCTTCGACGTTTCTTCTCAACGTCGAGTTGCCACGTTTCGATTTCCCCGTCGTCTTTGCCGACCACGAATACGACCCTCCCCCGATCTCGGCACTTCAGAATCTTTCAGTTTCCCAAGCTAGCATGGCTCATCGTCAGCCGCAGGTTCAGTATGGACCGGGAATTAACGCCCTCAGTGAAAGTTCATATGGGCTTGAGGGGCGGCTGATCAAGGTCTACGACCCTGAGGTTGGCCATAGAGACAACCCGGCAGAGGCGAAGCATCGTCGATTGTTCCGAAGCTCTCATCGACATGGCATCCTCGACAAGGACCTGAAACCGAACGCCAAGGTTCGAGATGAGCTCAATCTCATCATGTCATATCCCCCAACCCAAGTCCTTACACCAGAGGAGACGGATTTGGTGTGGAAATTCCGATATCATTTGACCCGAGATAAGAGAGCCTTGACCAAGTTTGTCAAGTCAGTCAACTGGAGCGACCAGAGCGAATCGAAGCAAGCAGTCCAGGTGCTTGGGCGGTGGACTGCGATCGACGTCGATGACGCTCTTGAGCTCCTTGGCCCGTCGTTTGACAACTCGGCAGTCCGGTCCTATGCCGTGGACCGACTACGTAAGTCAGACGACCAGGAACTGCTCCTATACCTTCTTCAGCTGGTGCAGGCTCTCAAATACGAGCATATCTCGACAGACTCGGACGAGGAGAGTAGCCACGACTCGTCTCTAGCCCGCTTTTTGATTCAGCGTGCTGCGGCGAACTTTATGCTTGGAAACTATTTCCATTGGTATCTAATGGTGGAATGTGATGACCGCAGCCCTGAGCAGGGCGTTGATAACCGAAATATCTATCGAAAGGTTGCTTATGAGTTCATGACGGAGCTTGTCAAGCAGCCAGGCGGCACAGAAACACGCAAGACTCTCTTGCGACAAGCTGAGCTGGTTGCCATCCTGTCTAGGATCGCACAAGACGTCAAGACGTCAAATGACACGATAGCGAAGAAGGTTGACAAACTCAAGCACTTCTTGGCAGATCCCAAGAACGAGCTCCTTACCTTTGATCCGCCCTTGCCGATGCCTCTCGACCCATCAATCCTGATTACTGGCGTCGTGCCAGATCAAACTCTGGTATTCAAGTCTTCACTGAACCCGTTCAAGTGCACCTTCAAGACTACTACGGGAAGCACTTATCCTATCATCTTCAAGCTGGGTGATGATCTCAGACAGGACCAGCTCGTGATCCAAATCATCACACTGATGGATCAGCTCCTCCAGAAGGAGAACCTGGATCTTAAGTTGTCTCCCTACAAGATCCTGGCAACCAGCACATCAGCAGGCGCCTCACAGTTTGTGCAGTCTGCAAGCTTGTCCAGTATTGTCAACAAGTTCCGGCAAAATCCAGCGTTGGCTTACCTTAAGTATCATAACCCGGACGACAGACAGCCTCTGGGCGTGCGACAAGAGACGCTGGACACTTATGTGAGATCCTGCGCGGGCTACTGTGTCATTACATATATCCTAGGTGTGGGTGATCGCCATCTCGAGAACCTGCTACTTGCACCCGATGGCCACTTCTTCCATGCCGACTTTGGCTTTATTCTGGGTCGAGATCCCAAACCCTTTGCGCCCCTGATGAAGCTTTCTAAAGAGATGGTGGACTGTATGGGTGGCGTGCAGTCAGAGCACTATCAGCAATTCAAGCAGTACTGCTTCTTGGCATACACGGCGTTGCGCAAGTCGTCAAACCTGATACTCAACCTCTTCAGCCTCATGGTGGACGCTAACATCCCAGATATCCGGCTGGAGCCGGACAAGGCTGTACTTAAGGTGCGGGAGCGGTTCCACCTGGAGCTCAGTGAGGAGGAAGCCCTAAGATACTTTGACCGGGTTATTGAGGACACGCTGACGGCGTATGCGCCTGTTGTGATTGACAAGCTGCACGAGTGGGCGCAAGCTTTTCGAGCATAGAACCCTTGGTGACTGGTTGTGTCTAGTCACTTGGAGTTTTGGAGTATCTGACACGAGACCATTGTTGGTCAAGATAGATTATGTAGTTAATTTTTACTGGGCTGCCACGCCGTTGGTGCTATTATCTGTCCAATTTATGTCTCTCCAAAGACAAAAACACCCTTGCCATTGCGGAATCCCTGAAGACCCTGCTGAACAGCGTTGCGGAGTGTCTCCTCTTCCGTCTCCCAGTCCCACTTGACCTCATCAATAGGAACATCACGGAACTGGCCTGCGCGGACGATATCAAGGATGTCGTTAATCATGTGCTTGCGACCGGCAGGGTCACGCTCGTTCCACTTGCTCAGCCAGAAGCCAATGAAGCGGATGTCCTTGAAGATTAGGAGACCGACAGGCAGGGACACGGGCTGCTTGGCCATGCCGCCATAGGTGACCATGCTGCCGCCCTCACCGAGAGCCCGAGCAATTTGGGTAGCCGACTTGCCTCCGACGCAGTTGAGGCCAAGACCGATCTCCTCACGACCACCACGGGTGATTTCGGCGAGCTGGTCCCTCCATTCACGGGAGAGGAACTTGGACTCAGTCACGACAATGTCAGCTCCAAGGTCCTGGAGCTCCTTGACAAGAGCCTCGGTCGCCTCGGGAGTATCGCGATCACGAACGACGTTGATGCTCCTCAGACCCCAGCGCTTGCCGAACTGGATAGCTGCTCGACCAACGCCAGAGTTGGCGCCGTTCTGGATGAACCACTGTCCGCTGTTGACCTCGAGAGGGCGCATACCCAAGCCCGCCTTGGGACCAGCATTGGGGCCGTAGTGGCGCAAGATACGGTAGGCCGTGCAAGGGTTCACACTGACGGTCGCAACCTGCGCGGGGGTCAAGCCCTCCTTTTCAATCTTGATGAACTTGTCGGCCTCGTCGACAGCGTGCGTCCTCCAGGTACCAAACTGGCCGATGGCGGGGATGACCCAATCACCCTTTTGCAGAGAAGAAGAGGAGGAGCCTACTGACACAACCTCAAAGACACCTTCGTTGCCGGGGACAACAGAGGGTTCTGGAGTGCCAATTAAGGAGGTAAAGGGTGGCTTGGAGCCGTAGGTGCCCTGGACGGTGTTGATATCGGCGGGGTTGATGGGAGCGGCGAGGGATCGGACGAGGACCGAGTTGGAGGGGATGGAGGGGGAGATGGAGTGTCGGTGGAGTCTAGAAGCTGTCAGCGAGGGTTATGGCGGGAATAAGTGAGAGAAGGAACATACTGGAGCACATCAGAGGGCTCGCCATACTTGGAAAAGACGAGCGCCTTTGCCTGAGTGTAGCCATAAGGACCCGACTTGTATCGCGCCGCAACGGTGGGCAGCCTCTGGAGCTTGGCCGAGGGACGAGCAAGGCCCGAAGCGAGGGGTCGAAGACGGAGACACTGCAAGCTCGCCATGATGAAACGGGAAATCAAATAATCGGAAGACGATACAAATTGATTTGCTTGTCGGGCGTAGAAAGTCGCACGACGTTTTTGAAACCTCTTTTTTGCACCTCGAAAGAACCGAGCTTAAACGGGAGCTCTCGTTGGAATGACGTTGAAGAGGCGGAGACACGGGCCAATCAGAGCCCGCAATTAACCGGGGACGGCCATTCGGCGGCGATGGGGACCGAAGCATGCGGGAGATGGAGATGGGGGGGGATCCTCTTTGAGCGTGGCAAGTGGGGGATGTCTAAATCGGGAAAACAGGGACGACGAGATGGGTAACTGTGTTGGTGAGATTGGGAATAGTGGCAGAGTTTCACAACTTGCATTTCTTTTCTTGTGGTGGGTTGCCCAAAGTCGTTTAGGCCTCGAGCTTGTATCTTTTTCACCCAACCCTGAACTTCCGAGGTACTTTGGGCATAGCCACCAGGAACGGTTGCACTAGAGATGCAACGCTACGATGATAAAAGGGGTAGACAATCTGTTCCCTTTTTGAGGTACAGCGATCAATCATCTTGTGCTCTCGAGTAAGAAAAAAAAAAGAAGTGTTTCCCGTGCCAAGAAGGGAGGGTGGGATCTGATACGGAACCCATAGATGCAAGACAAGGCGTTGGAACATGTCTCAATCCATCACCTGCTGGCTTTCTGTCCCTGGTTTCCCCTGGAGACACGATCCTGTGTGCTGTGTTTTGTTATGAGAGCTTGATAATATAGCGCATGATGATATTAGATTGGTCTCGTGAGGATATAGTAGTCTATGCGGCACAGCATCTCTTACTAGTAAATTCTGGTAAGCTGTAATCAAAAGAGCCCAGGTGCAAAAAACTGCAAGCCCGCATGCCAAGTGCCTGCATGCGCCGTAGGTGGTTTGGTAGGTAGCACAGAACTACTTAGCATGTGAGATTTGATGTATGGCCCGGGAAGCTGGATCTCTCTGCCACAGGCCCGTTTGCTCCGGGGCTTTTATCCTCGACAAGAGTTCGTCGTTGCTTTTTATCAGTCGACATTCGGCCCTGCGGTGGGAATCGAAAGATGGCTGCTGCGGCACACGTTTCTTCTTGTGTAGTTTTGGCGTGGACGTATGTGGCGTGGAGGGGTTGTATAAGGGAGAGAAGAGGAAGGGAGTTTGACCAGTGGAGGCGCATGTGAGATATATACGTATGTACGTATGATGGACAGATGAAATTGTCTAAGCCATGAACGTCCTGAATTGTTTCCAATGCTGTTTATCTGCCTTGAGGTAGCCCCAGCCCGTGCCGTGCCGTGCTGGGACCTGACCCAACCCGACTGCATGAGGGGACGGTAGTTATTAGGTGCAGTGACAGCTGGGTAGGTACATGAAAAGTAATGGGCGGGACGGGAGGTGCCGCCTTGCCAGCCAGTCAAAGTCAGGTACCAGAGCTCTAGAGTTGGGTACCTGGGGCATGTCCACCTCTGGCCACCGCCTTTGTTGGCTCACCAGCTCACCCAGAAGCCCTCGTGGCTCCAGTGCCCTCCAGCGGGGGTCCGCACCAGCCGGTGGGTTCGCTGCAGCTTCTCCAGGGGCAGGCCCAGCAGCGAACCACCAGCGGCGGAGGGTCATAGGTACCTCTGCGGTACTGGCGGTACCTCGAGGGTACCTGGCCTTGCTCCCGTCATGACATTCTCCACTCCCTGGCCGCCTTTCACGACCTTCTCTCTCAGACCCCGTCCTCCACCATTCTTTCTTGCAAAAACATGTGTCCTCCCTCTTTCACCTCCATCCCTTTTGCTTGTTTGCTTGTTTGCTATTCATCTTGATCTTCAAACCTTTGAGCTTCACCTTTCTCTACCTCGCTCACCGCAATTGAAACGGGATCATCCCAAGATCCCAAAAGCACGCCACGCCGCGTCCTCAACCCTTGCAAGCCGCAACGACAAAAGCCACCCCGACCCCTGCTCCAGTTTTCCACCTCCCATCTTGGTCCCTGACAGGCTACCTTCTACTACTCTATTCCTGGGTCCTTGGCCGTTTTACGCTCTCCTTTCTCGTCGCCACGCCCTGTTCGTTCCTGCGCTCGCTGCGGGGAGTCAGTCGAAACTCTGCTTCGTCATCTCATCCCGCTTGTTTGGATCCCAGTCGTCGACTTAGACGTCAATCAACGAGAGAGAGACTGCCATCTTCACCTTGGCCATTCGCGTCTTGAGCTCCTCCCGTCGCCTCACCTCACCTCGCCCTTGCTCCCCTCGCTCGCTACCCCTTTCCGAACTCGGGCCCTCGCCATTCATCGATCCCGTGCTCCATCTTCGATCCGTGCCACGACCTGTTGCTGTTTGTCGACCGAGACTGACCTCACCACCGCCACCATGTCGTCTCTTTTCAACAAGAGCGGCGGAGGCTCGCGCTTCCAGCTGCCCGCTCTGAACCTAAACTTTGGAAGCATCACAGACGGCACCAACATCCCGCCGCCTCCGGACTCGCCGGTTCAAAAGGTGCCGACTCCTCCCCAGACGCCGCCGCCCGTCAAGGAAGTCGCCAAAGAGACGGAAAAGGACACACAGAGCAACGTCGTCAGTGACGACAGCAAGGAAACGCCCCAACAGAGCATTCCTGCCCCCTCCAATGGTAATCTCGCTGGAACCAAGCGCTACGCGGATGAAGATGTCCCCCTGAGCCCGGCAGCTTCGAGCCGTCAAGGCAGCATCCGTCGCCTATTCAGTAGGACCATGTTGAATAACAATTACGCAGAGGGCCAGAACCAGAATCCATCGAACACAAACCTCGCGGCTGTCACCAACGGTCGACCTTCCAGCCAGGGCGGCTCCAGCTTCCTCGACGAGCGAAAGTCGAGGAGGAGCAGCGGCTGGTTCAGACGGATCAGGACTGGAGACACGGGGTCCAAGCGAATCAGCACAATGAACTTCGAAGAGCCTCCTCGCGCGCCTACGCCCACGGCCACGATCAAGAAGCCTTCGGGACCGCCGCCTCCCATGATCCCCGAGTTGACCGATCTTGAAAAGGACGAGGGAAGTCTGGGTGATGATCTGTTCAAGAACATCAAGTAAAACAACAACTCGAATTACGGCTGTCGAGAGCCACGCTCGACTGACCAATTCCGGCTAAACAACCACCATCTGTTTTTTTTTTCTTACACTGTTTGCATATTCAAAGACCGAAGATTGAGACACCCTCGCCCACCACTTCTCGCCCCCCTTTTTCACCCGAGCAGAGCAACCAAGCACCTCACGAGACGGTCGACGCTTTGGAATATTCCCCTTCTATTTTTATTTAACGATTAGCCTCTATTACTCAGAGGCCGATTGATCCGCCTTCTTGCTGGGGAGGGCGAATTTGGTGGTGGGTGAAGGGAGATGTAGAAGAGGAGGAAATGAAGAGCGGCATGAAGGCAGCTCATCAAGATACCCAACTTGTTTCGCGGCTCACTAAATCGGTGTGCGATATGGATTTGTCCGTCTTGTTCTTCTTTTGATTTTTGGCATTCATTGATTTGGTTTCGAATTGCCACTACGACGCTTCACGAAGTGTATCGTCATCATGTCTTCACGTCACCCGTCCGTTATTTACTTGACACCACACCTGCCCTCGCCTCGACGCAACGCAACGCTCTACACCGCCATGCCATGCGAGGGATTGTTTCTGAATACTTATTACTACTACTTTTGGGAGGCGGTTTGAGTCCCGGGCTTTTTTTTTTCATGCCGGGAGATTGGGGAAAGGGGCTGTCACGGCCACTCTCCAGGACTGTACATCTATTAGTGCCTACTTGCGGAAAAGCCGTGCAGGAAGAGAGAGACAGAAGAAGAGAGAGGTTGGAGACAAAAAGAGCCAAGATTTTTGGCCAAAGCTTTTATTATCCGGGGAGGGAGGGAGCCGATTGTGTTTATTTTGGTTTGGATACGAGATTAGAAACAATCAATGCTTGGGCGCGTTGCGTTTGCTGGCCCCCGATTCTCACGATCATCTCCCACGCCGGCCTCACGGCCCTCAACTTGTCCCATGCGGTGAAGAAAGCCGGCTCGGGATTTGTAGACTGGCTTGCTTGCGCGTCGATTGTCGAGCATAGACCAGGAGACGTGAGATGGACGACCCGAGCCAACCGGGAGGGGGGTAGACATGGGTGTTGGTTGTTGTCATTTGTGTAATCGTATTCATATCCGTATCTTCATCAGTTCATCATGTCCAACTGTGGCTCTTATAAGGTGTCATGAATAGCATCATGGCCAGCCATAGCAGCTCCGAAACTCATCATCTCGCCACCTCGTACTCGTGTCTCCACTAAAGGAAGACACTCCTGCATCCAACTCTGGCTCCTGTAACTGGCCAACACAGCTGATACAAGCTTGGCCTACTCCACGACCTCCTCACCTGTCTTTTTGTCTCCAACGATATAAACTGGGTCGAAGCGATTTGACCGCGTCTGTCCCATCTCATACACTCAAGCCCTCGTTCCTCAGCTTCTCGTACAATGTCCCCATGGATGCTGCATAGCCCGGTACCAGAATGCCCTCGCCGGTGGGCACTGGTGCGTTGAATAGAGGAACCACTCTCGTGGCGCCCTTGGTAACCTCGAGGATCGTTCCGTCGCCGAGGTCCTCGTTTACGACGAGCTGCCACATGCCCCGGGCAATCTCTTCGGGTTCGATAAGGATCGTGTCTTTATCCAGCATCACAGCCTTGGTCGGGTCATCGTGCCAGAGAGGCGTCTACCATTATCAGCTTGAAGTTAAGTGTCATGTCATCGTTGACACTCACCCTCACTGCACCGGGAGCTACACATCCCACGCGGATTCCAAGCTCATCGCGCAGTCCTCCTAGGGACCGCACGAAGCCATGTAAGCCATGCTTGCTCGCAAAGTACAGCGGCGTCGTGATGCCCGCACCATAGCCTGCCATGCTACCAACGTGGACAAGAGTCCCCTTCTGCTTGGCCTTGGTCCAGTGACCGATAGCCAACTGACTCAACCGGATGGGAGATGCAAGATTGACATCCAAAACAGCATAATGACCTGGATCCGCATCTGCAGGGTCGGCAGAGACTGTGTCTGGGTTACTCTCCGTCTTGGGAGCCTCCCAAAAGGACGCCCACTTGGGCTCAAAGAGGCCAGCGCCTGCGACGACAATGTCGACAGATGAGAACTTATCCACGGCCGTCTTCCACACCGAGCTTAGGTCTGGCCAAGATGCAACGTTGGTCTTTTGAAAGAAGGCGCCGGCTTGGCCCTCAGCAGCCGGGAAGGGGTATTTCTTAAGAAGCTCCTCAGCTTCTGGTTGAAGTTTAAGGTCGGCGATGAGAACTGAACAGCCCTTTTCGAGAAGCATACGAGCGAAGCACAAGTTGATGCCTTGTGTCGATATCAGCTATTGAAACCCTCATAGTTGGCTGCGTCAACTTCGTACCTGAGCCAGCCCCAGTAATGAGGGCATGTTTGCCCTGGACAGTAAGAGTAGTCATTCTGCAAACCAAAATAATGTTGTTTCTTTAATGTCACAATGAAGGATTCGGCCCAGGGTCTTCAAAGTTGCAGGGTTGGTTCAGTGTCGGGAATCTCACAACCGCCCTGGTCGTTTCTAATTCAAACGAAACGGCGATGAGATTAGTAGCGGATACACACCCCGATTCTCTGCGGGGTGTCACACGTTAAAATGAAGAAGAAGAGACATGGGCTGAGCATGGTCTCAGGAGCCAAGCCCTGCCGCTGCAGGCCCTCAGGTCCTGGCCTTCTCCTCATCCACGAATCCCTGCATCTCGGAGGGGACAGGATCCTCGGGTTTCCCATCCCGGCACGCCCAGCCGTCGACCAGACGCAGCGTCTCGCGGCTCCACAGCCTGTTCATAAGGGATAGCCGCACGGGGACCAGGGCGATGATGATGAGGGGGAAGGCGGGCGCCGCGACGGTGAGCGTTACACCAAAGACGATGCCCGTGAGGATGATCTGTGTGATTGTGTAGGCGTGGATGCCGAACCAAGTTACGCCGGGGGGCAGCTCGTGTAGGTCTGATGGCGGGGTGAGAAGCTGGACGACTCGCTCGAGGATTGGGTTGACTGAGAGGGACTGATAACCCATGAACATGAATAGACCAGCGAGCACTGAGGTCTGTGTAAAGCCGAGTAGCTTCTGTAGCGGCGGAGAGACAAAGATGAGGATCATGGCTGCTTGGATGAAGTGTGAGTATCTCTGCTCATATGTCCGCGCAACCGGTCGAGGTGAATCTGGCTGCTCGCCCTCTTCAGCAGGAGGACTCTCAAGGACGTAATGCATCAACGACTCCGAGTGTAGCGGCGCCTGAGGGAGAAGTCCGTTGGCTGGAGGGATACCCAAGATACCGCAGATGATGGTGGTTGTTCCCAAAAGGACAATATCCCAGGCATATCCGCCAGGCTTCTTGGTACCATAACGCTTCACGGTACAGATGATGCTGCTAATCTCGTGGTCAAAGTAGAACAGGACAGTGACGATGGCACCAGGGATCATGGATAGAAATACCCATTCCACAGGCAGGTCCCAGAAGCGCACAAAGAAGGTGTGTCGATCGGGGTTCGTAGGTCTAAACTTGGTCTGGACTTCGAGGCGGACGTGGTCAAGGTCTGCTAGCTCTCCGATATAGGGGATACCGATCCAGAAGACGATGGAGATTGCAGCGGCATACTCTGTTAGCCCAAGACGAACATAACGATGAAGCATGGGCTTCCACGAGTTGGCTGTTGACAGCAGGATGGCCAGCAGACATGTTCCAAATGCACCGATGATGGCGTATAGAAAGGCGGCCAGTGAGACCCTGGCATGAGTGCGCTTAAGCTCCATGGCAGCCTTGTGGAAGTAAATGACGCTGTTGAGAAGGGAAAAGATGTCGGCGCTAAAGTGCGTCACGTACTGCATGGTCCAGTCGTGGGCGTTGAAGATTGCCAGGAGGTAGTGCATCCACCCGGCGTGGATGAGAGACCATGCCATGACGGGGAGGAACTCGACCTGTAGATTATGAGAATGTGTTCAAGATGCGGCTTGAAGGATCTTACATGAAAGTGTGTTTCACATAGTTCGTAGATGTTTTCAGCCAACACGGAAAAGGGGCCCGTGACGCCCAAGATGGTGAGAGGTTGGCCAGAGAAGCTATTCTCATCAACATGGGATCTTGACAGTGATAGGCAGCTCACTTACACGGAAAAGATCAACCCGCAGAGCCCAGTGCTAAACACCACCTCGATAGTTCCCCACGACTTGCCTGTAAGAGTGTACAGGTCACTAGCAAACGTGATACCCGGCAGAATGTTGGTGAAGAAGATGTAGACGGCGCTCGCGATAACCTGCTGGTTAAAGACTTGCCAGTCTGATACCCATCGACTCCTGAAGTTGATCATGTCCTGCTTCAGCAACCGAAAGGGACGAAGCTTGCCACCCTTTCCAAAGTACTTGGAAGGCTGACCGGATGCATCGTTGGTGCTGAATGTTTCATCTTGGACTGCTTGGTTGCCTGGGTTGTTCTGTGATGCTGGAGTGATGGTGTTTCCAGATCCAAAGGTAGGAGTCCTCTCCATCTCAATTGAACCAACCGGTTCGTGCCTGGCCATATCGCAACCAAAAGAATGCAGCTCTTTCAACAAAGGTCTGAAACAAGAAGCAGAAACAGCGCAATTGCTTTGTGGGCGTGAAACATGTTGAAGCCCTTTCCAATCTGGTCCGGGACTTCAAGCCAACTTATATCGTCTCTTGCCTTCAGTTCCTTGGTCTAGAGCATGCTCTTGGCATTGTCTTGGCTCTAGATTCAGGTCTTGGCTTTTATTCCTCTTGTGTAGTCATCGGTGAACGGAATGGATTGCTAGGGCTTCACACGCACACTCAATGGATGAATCGATAACGCGTGGTCGCTCCTCAATCGGCAATTGGCTCAGGAAGTTCTCTTGGTATGACGTCATGAGGCAGCAGCTCTATCTTCAAAAAAAAAAAAAGTCTTATCTCCACGTGCCGGGGTGGGGCGAGGCTGAAAGAGGGACAATTGTGCAAGGCTGATATTTACATCATCTTTTTTTTCAAGGGTCCAGACCCTTCATGTTGATGGTAACAGATGCGAATCTCGAAGCACACGCCTAGAAACATGCCCCCGACGGCCAATCCCGAGTGATATACAAACCCCGCGACAACAATGGCCAACTTCATCCCCCGCCAGGCCTTTTCCATCCCGGGCTCGGTCCCCAAGACCTACTATATCGGCCACCATGCCTCGGCCCAGCAACAGGTGGTGAATAAGCTCCAAAACATCTCCCTGATCCTCGAGTGCCGCGACTTTCGCCTTCCGCTATCCACCCACAACCCCCGCCTCGAGCGTGCCGTCGCCGGCCGGCCGCGCCTCGTCGTCTACACAAAGTCGAGCCTCGGCAGCGACACCCCCGGCGCCGCAAACGCCCTGCGAAAGCTACACGGCGACCGCTGCGTCATCTGGGACAAGGCCGACCCCGCCGCCACAAAGACTTTGCTAAAGAAGGTCAAGGAGGTTGCGCGGGAAGCGGACTCGCTGACGGGTCTGTGGGCCATGATCGTCGGCATGCCCAACGTCGGCAAGAGCACGTTGCTCAATGCGCTACGGAGGGCCGGCATACCAGGGCAGACGGCCAAAGCCGCAAAGACGGGGGACCAGGCGGGTGTGACACGAAAGATGAGCACGCCCGTCCGTATCCTCGAACCTGAGGACCGGGGCGGAGTGGGTGACGGCGCCTTTATCCTGGATACGCCCGGCATCTTTCAGCCCTATATCGATGACGGCGAGACCATGATAAAGATTGCCCTTACGCAGGGCATCAAGAAGGGGCTGGTACGGGACGTGATTCTCGCCGATTACCTCCTCTACAGGATGAACCTCGTGGATCCCACCTTGTACGAGAAATATTGCCCCCCCACAAACGAGATTGATGAGTTGCTCGGGGCCATAGCCAGGAGAGAGGGCAAGGTAAAGCGCGGTAACCACCCCGTTCTTTCGCACGCTGCTGATAGACTCTTGTTCCATTGGCGAGAGGGAAACATGGGCAAGTTTGTCCTCGATGACCTATCAGACAGCGCCATTGAGGAATACCAGACTTGCATAGCAAACCCCAAGCTGAGCCTGAACCAGGCAAAGAAACTGCAGAAGCGAGCGCGTGCCCAAGAAAAGGCGGGTGCGTAGTATGACCTCGAGGTCCTGAACCTGTGTGTTATTGTATCGTTGTATCATATATCTGTCTGTATAGACGACATTTTCCATGTACACTACCTAACGACGCTCTGTTATTCATATCCATCCCTCCGAGATTCATGCTTCTCCCACAATAATGCTGCTCCATTGCAGCTTTGTAAGACGCCAATGGCAAACTCTTTTAACCAGGCATACTGGGGTATAAGAAAAGAGCCGGAACACCAAAGAGCCCAGACCTCGTGGTCGGTTCCGGATAAAAGACGAACGAGAAACCGTAACTAATGAGCGATGAAAGACAATCGCATCCCTGCATCTTGCCTTGATGCTTCGTGACGCCCGTAATGCACCCAACCGTAAACTCCAAAAACATTCAAGAAGCCATAACCGCCCATCATTGCCACCGCCTAGCATAGCAGGGTGCTGTCGAAACCCGGTGCTGTATGTGCTTAGGTGTACTGGCTCTGCCACTTGACCATATCCCGCGTTAGAACGTCCATCATCTCCATACAGTTCAGATCTTTGAAATCCTTGTCGTGAGAAGACTCCCTGGTCGATCCGTTCTCCACTGCCATGGACTGGTTCTCGGGTCTGCTAGCAATTTGCGGGACAGGAGTCTTCTGGGGCGAAACCTGCCCGCTGCTTGCGGACCCGTTGGGCACTGGAATGGCTTCTGCCGCAAGATCCACCTGGGTTCGGGAGATAAAGTCCATGATGGCGCCGACACGCCGCTTCATATCCATCATGCTCAGCTTATGATGTGGGGCTGCCTTTGATTTTCCATGTCGGTGGTGGTCGTTGGTCGACTTGGAATGGCCTGGCGTTGAATCATCCCCATTCTTCTGAATGTCTCGCGACATTGACCGTGCTGGGGATTCGCCATCCGCATCACGGTCTCTAGTATACTGGTTTCTGCCCTTGCCCTTCTTGTGAGTATTTCTGCCACCTCGTTTATGGGTATTCGTGGTCGGAGGGTGGCTCGCGGGTGGAGTGTCAGGGACTGGCTGAACTGGAGGAGCTGGAGTCTCGGTGACGATTGGAGTCTCAATGCTCTTTGCCGCAGGCGGTTTTACCGGGGGAGCAGGCGTCTCGTCAGAAGGATCAGAATCTACCAAAAATTAGCAAGCGGAAATAGTCTCAGACAGGTCCGACTTACCCTCTCCACGACGCCTCTCTGCGCGTCCTTTGCGCTTATCTGCTGCCTCTTGCCTCTGACGTTCTTTATCTTCTTTTTCCGTCTTTGCTTTTTGAGTCTTGTTATTTCGAGCCTTTTTTGCGCCACTGCGAGTGCTCGACTCTTCATCTGACTCGTCGCGACTGGTGGCCTCGACAGGTTGAGCAGGAGGCGAAGCGGAGCGAGAACTGGTTCGCTGTCTCTTGACATTCGTGTGGCTTCTCGTTGCCGTCAGCTTATCATCCCGAGGCTGGGTATGAAGGGCGACTGACTCTTCACTGTCACTCCGCCCCCGCTTGGCTCTCCTGGTCAAGGCCTCTGGCGCATCGTGAGGAGCATCTTCCTTGCTTGCCTCAATGGCTCGAAGGAGTTGTTCATCTTCGTAGGCTCGGTCGCGGCTGTTCATTGTAGATCGGCGCTTCGACGTCTGTGAAGCAGAGGTAGGGCGTGAGTTTTTGCCTGTCCCAGTCTTTGGGGAGCGAGTTCCCTCCTTGGCGATCGAGGCAGCCCTCGACGTGGCCCGCGATGGGCGATTGAGAGGAACATATTTCGAGTATTTTTGTCTGTCAAGCAGAGGATATTAGCATTCGGGCAAAATCAACGCTGGCGTGTGAACTTTGCAGTGGTCCAAGAGCGAACGAGGTCGACCGTGAGTCGAAAAAAGTCGACCACAGCCATTTGGACGAATTTCGAGATGGCTAGTTCGCATTAAATCGAGACAGAAACCGACTTACCCGTTGCTTGCAGTATGGATTTTGTGTAGGTCCTTGCGACATTGTTCGCAGAAATATTCTTCGGGGGAGCTTTCGGCACTGAAAATGCCTACACAGGCACCGTGCTGCCAGACTTTGCAGACGTCGCATTGAACGAAGAAGCCGGTAACATCTTCAGTGAACTCAATGGAGGCGAAAAAGTCGGCGTCGGGTCCCTCGACAGGCGGGCGACCCGGGTAGTCCTCAGAATCGCAGATGCAGCGGACAGCCTCATCTTCCTCCTCCTGGAGGTCGTCGCTTCCATTTGCCATGTCAAAATTGTCAGGCCTGGAAGCCTTTTCGGTATCGTCGTCGTGATTGCGTTTTCGCCGGCGACCGAGGAGGGTGTCGTCGAGATCCTCAAAGGGCTCCGACGACAATGAGGCGCTAGGTGTGGACTTGGTGGAGGAGGGCTTGACGACGGATCTCGTGTTCCGTTCGGCTCGGCCAGAGGTGCTCGACGAGACAGATGATTGCTGGGATTGTGAATTGGTCGCGCGGGCTCTCGATGACCGTCGCGGCGAGGGAGGTGCCATGAGTGAGTCGGGTCACCGAGGTGGGGAGAGGAAAAGAGAAGGAGACGTTAGACGTGAGGAGGACGAGGACGAGGACGAGACCCAAGGTCCGGTAGGCGAGTATTGGCGCGTGTAACACTGCCGAGAGAAACGATGTATAGTTAAAGCTGCTAAAAGACTCGGGGAAAGGTAGGATCGCGAGAATTGGTGTGTGGTGCGGAAGCGATCAAGGCAGATGTGGGAGCTGGGCCGGAGACCAGCGTCGACGAGAGAGACTAGAAGGTCGAGGAGGAGCAGTCGAGTTGAAGACAAGATTGGCAAGCAAGCATGTCGTAGAGGAGTAAAGGCGAATCAGTCATGACACGGAGGAACCGCAACAATGTGTGTATGGGTGAGAGGAGACGAGAGGAGAAGCTTGGTTCGGAGGAGGAGAACGGGAAGAGATGGACGGAAGCGTGGGAGAGCGAGCGGCATCCATCAGAGAGAGCGAGGGAAGGTGGGCGCGGGCCTTGAGTGGGTGCGGGCCTGGGTGGGCGAAGCGCGGCGTGGTGTCGCTTCAGAACAGAGCCGGACCACTACAGCACCACAAAATTCGCCAGGTACCTGAACGAGGTACCTCACAGGGGTCCTAGGGTCCATATCCGCACTGAGGCACGCGCCTTACAGGGAGCTTCAGCGCTGCCCATTCACTGTGCAGAAATTGTTTCGATTAGCTCGCCCGCGCTGAGAGGCGGGTAATGCCCGGTTGCAGTCCGATAGCCCGCCTTGCGCGGTTGATTTCCGCTGGATGGACCTCAGTGACATCAGGGAATCGTTGATGTCGCAGTCAGCAAACTCTCGTCATGGAACTGCCGTGTTATGTATTTCATGACTCACAGTTGGGAAGATGGCAGTAAAAATAAAAATAATAATAAATAAATCGTAGTGTAGCTGGATTTATTTAAATATTTAAAGCGCCAAAACCCTGTAAACCAGACACAGTGCAAATCATTCAAGTCTCGATCATGGCCAGGGAGAGTGGTGGGCGTGGGGAGGGCGAGTGCCACCTTGACAGCACACCAGAGGGGGAATTCTGCTGACTAACCTAATAACCGCCCTCGGCCCTCGTTGCAACTCCTAGCCTCAGTGACGATTCGCACACTCGAATTACGGAAACCTCCAAGGTGCTATCAGCTTTGCGCTGTCACGATCTACGTCACTTGCTCTCAGGGCCTTTATCGACGATCTGCTGTTTCATTTCGAGCCTCGTCTGCGCTTGCCCGAGGTGTCCCTCACCCTCCTGGGCCCCGTCCGCCCGTCAGTGACTGGGTAAGCCACCCGACCTTGAACGACCGACAGCAAGCCTGGCGACTATCGGCATAACCGCTGCGAGAGACCGTCGATGCTACAACCAGAGACATCACCAGTGCCAGCCCACGCTCGTCGTAGTCGCAGCTGCTCGGCCATGATATGCCTTGCATCGACGACCATGTTCTGACCCGCACACAGAACGCTTTAGAGCCCGACCGAACCAACTTACCCCCCTTCGAGCTTTCCAGCGTCAACCAGCCTCGACACCCGGCGTGCCTACCTACGACCTTGATACCCCTTTCGAATTGTACGGTCGATCTTGAATAATCGAGTCTTGTTTGTCGACGTATTTGTACAGATTGCTCCCTCTCGGGCTTGTTTGGGGAAACTTGTTGCTCCACCGTTCTTGGTTATACGGTTTGGGTCAGGGTTATTATACGATGTTTGCTGGGTACGCTTTCCGTTTGATTCCAACGCCGGCGAAGCCCGTCGCAATCCCCAGCTGGCCGTTGATTGATCACCTCGGACGGTTATCAAGCATGGGCTGCGGTGGGCGGCATCCCACATGTCCATATCCCCCACCAACCTCTCCGCTCCCATGTCCTCCTTCGCTATATTCGTGACTGGTTTCGTCGGCATCATGGCGACATATCTGCTAACACGAGCCTTTCGCTCTTCTCGTGCAGATCATAGCCCCAAAATGTCGCCAGATACTGTATCGTCGCTGTTCCCAGACCGACCGATTCGGCCGCTGCCGAAACGCCGGCTCAGAGAGAGGCTGTCTCCAGACGTTGCGGACTCAATAAAATACCCTCCGTCGACTCACGAAACCACCCCTCTCTTCTACTACCCCCCATACACTCTAAAAGACGAAGGAAGCCCGCCGAGGACCGGCTCCACGAGCCCAGTTGAACAGGGACGCAGGACAGAGTCGGGGCGCAACTACACACCACGGCGGAACGGCGTAGGGTTGCCAGACGGCGACGAGGAAGAGACTGCCTTGCAGAGCAGTCTTGTTACCAGATCACCTCCAGAGACCCTTACTCATCCCGCTCGTCGGCCGTCAAGGCCGGACCCGCCTCGACATCCAAATCCGCAGCCCCCTCCATCAACGACCTCGTCAGTAGATGGCTACGATTCATTCGAGAATACCAATAATAAGAAGAAACGGAAGATCCCCTCTGCAGGGGATCCCACTCTCAACGGCACTCATGCGCTGAACAACGAGATAGGCTCCCTGGCCATATCTTCCGGGACAGCACACTCCCCAGCCAGCGAGCTCCATGGCGATAGGTCGTATGCTCATTCGGGTGCGTATCCAGGTTCGGGAACCTTTTCCACCAGCAACCAGGGAATATCGGGGCCAGGACGAGGCAGATTGGGGCGCTCCAGGAATGGAAGAAGTCCGCTGCGAGCTTTGCCCGACGGTAACACTACGTGGGCTGGACGAGCATCCAAAACTGCACCACCCCAATGGGCACCAGCCGGTGAGTTTCTTTCATTATTGCCGATGCCTTTTTCATTGTGCGCCTATGCATTGTCTCAGTGATGTATTGTTGCGGCTATCCGTCTTATGGAGATTTGCCTATTCGGGTGAATCTCAGATAGACTCTATTCTCCTGCAGCATTTTGCGCCAACCACGCATAAGCCGCCGGCTGGAAACAGGTGGCGGCACGGAGCCATGCATAGTACTTGACCAGCCAGCTCAGCCGACCCAACCAATTTTTGCATGTTGCGTGCATGCTGTGAAGGCTCTTTCCTCCTTCTTTACAGCGAACCGAACCTAACATTGTCTTCTTTATCAACAACACCAAAACATCCATTCAGGCGGCTAATTCCAGTCCTAGAACGCGAAGCTCGCGGTATCATCTCTAACGCCATTGCTGTCGCAAACGCTGAGAAGCAGCGTCCTCAACCACAAGAGAACGGGAGCTTACTTCAGCAATACTCTTCGGCAACGAAGACCACACCTGCCTCCACTCAATTCACCTTCACCTGCGACTCCCAAGTTCCCGGGACGGTTCGGTGGCCTGGTAAGTTTCAGGAGATGGTTAGCTGTAATGGCATACTAATTAGCAAACAAGGTCATTCGAGTAAACACAGTATGTCGACTCAAACGATGCCAGGCATGTCGGCAGAGATGAACGGTAGCAACGGTTATAATCACGATGGTTCTTCCAAGGCAGCTAGTCGCGGATCAGGGAGTTCTCGTCGAAAGAGCAGACGCCGATTGGAAAAGGAGCTCGACATGGCCGCAAGGCACCGCCGTCGAATTGCTGCCGACAATTACTATCAAAACCCTCCAAAGGCGGAAGACATTTGGATCTGCGAGTTTTGCGAGTACGAACGAATCTTTGGCGAGCCACCGAGGGCACTGATTCAAAAATACGAGATCAAGGACCGACGGCATCGCCAGGAAGAGGCTGATCGTAAGCGTCTTCTCGAGAAGGCCAAGGCGAAAAGTCGAAAAGGCAGGAAGAATGCGAAGGCACCCGCAAGAGGACAAACAACAAACCAGAACACTCCTCCAGAGCCAGAGCACGCAGACCCTGACGCCCCTCCCATGAACATGGGCAACGAACATTCCACGCAGTCCGAGGAGGACTACGTGGACGGGCCTGATGATCACTACTTGGATGCAACTGGCCATCATTCGCATCGGGGGGATCCGGGCATACCGGCGGGTGCAACCTAGGAGCCGTCAAATGATACGGAAGTCGAGGCAGACCAGTCGATTAATTGCTGGCTTTGTTTCTTTCAGATATCTCATTAGACGACCTGATAGCTAAGGATCGAGAGCCACTCGGTGAGGAGGAGGCTCTAGGAAGCGACCTTTGTTTACCTAGTTGGGTTTTGAACACGGGAAGTTGGCAGTGTGTTTTTTTTTTTACAACTGTCACTGCAGCATGGATATGTAACGGCGGGAAGAACAGTCAGCGTTAAACATATCATGTCATAGCTGTCCTAGTGTAGCGCAACCCAATTCACGACCACTCTTACATATTTGCCCCAATAGAGTTGAAAAGCTGTTCGCAGTGAGGTGACGGAAAGTCAAGTTCCATTGAGCGGCTCGAAATTAGACGAGTCTGGGACTGACGTCAGGGCGGGCCAGCTAGCAGAACCGGGGCTAATTATAAGTGCTCTGACAGGTAGAGTACCGTAGCCGCTCAGCTGGAGAGTGGGCAAGCAGACATCCATTTCGAGATTGAGCTGACACCGGCTGAGATGGAGCCCAGATGGATGAAAAGGCCGAGAAGTAGATCTCGGCAGATGGAGAATTTATGGCTTGGTTTGCCGTTTGTCAGGAGAGATGAGCCTGAATGGGAACTGATCTACAAATAGCTGATGCATGGGCCCGATGTGTGGAAACCGGGTGGGTGAGCTGCACATGATGGAAGCTGAGCTGAGGGCTGTGCCCGGGACTGTATTAGGACAGGGAAAACACTTGTCCAGCCCTGCTTACACCGCCGTTGGCTTCTGTACTGTATCCGTAGTGTCAACGGCATCAACCATCCAGCCTCCCAATCATCAGGACCCTTGACGTCCATGTTTGATGCGAGCATGACGACTCAATTAAAGCAAAAGCCCTGCCCTGGCTGGCCCAGCCGGAACAAAAGCTGCAGTGGGGTCCCTCCTGTTAACCTCAAATTGGGTTAGCGCGGCTAGCGTGTCTAGCTGGGCCTAGTGGCTTGATACCTTTCGTCATCAGTTCTCCGTTCTCATCTTGGATCAATTCCAAGAATCCTCACGTCTTCCTCTTTTTTTTTTAACTGTACGGCCCTGACCCGCCCTCTGCTCTTCCCGACACTCTAATCATCACATTCCAGTAATTATTTCTTATTCTCCCGTCCTCCTGGATTCTCATGCCCGCCTTCTGTTGAGATCTGCTGGCGTCCGCGCCGCTTTTGACCTAGCCCGCCATGTTTGGAGGTTCGAGGAGGCATCGCCCTCCCACCCAGGTGAGAGACAACCATTTCGAGGCGCTTCTGCAAAGCCGGTTTTGGCTTTTGACTTTAGTGCGCGAGTGCGCCAGGCCGATGCGATGTCATGACACGCCGCCATCCGGTCTATTTGACAGACACTTGTGCGCTTGCGTTGGTGTCCTTGATATTTGCTGATGGTCCCTTTTGCGACGACTTTCATCTCTCCCTCTTCTCATTCTATCGCAACCTCACCCCAGGCCCTGCTAACATGGCCGTTCCATCCAAGCCCTTGACCAAGGAGACAGCCAATCCTAATGCTGCGACCGCCGCTGCCTCGGCCTTTATGCGACGCGAGCCATCCGTATCCCTTTCATCCGCTGCTGCCGCTGCCGCTCTCAAAGCTCGACCAGCGACACCCACCAATGTATCTCAGGTTCAGTCGAAGCGCGCTATGCGCAGGAGCGCATCAGTTTCATCTACCGGGAGTCGGGATAGAGGGAGAAGGGAACTTCAGAGGACCCCAAGCCAGAGTTCCATGACTGAGCGCACCTTTCGATCACCATCGCCATCGCCCGCGCGCGGCGCTCCTTCCAACACCCACGATGTCCCTCCCGTACCCAAGCTCCCGAACCATGATCATCTCAAGACTGAGTCGAAGCCCACATCTCACAAGCGAGCCATGAGCTTGCAGGTCCAGCCCTTTCAGACGGCCAGTCAAAAAATGAAGGATGGCCAAGGTTCATGGTTTGGGGCACCGACATCTGGAGACATCTCCAATGTGCGCCGGGCAGCTGTCGCTGATAAGAGGGCATCTGCCGATTTGCGACCCAGCAGTCCAAGTTCCATCAACTTCTCTTATCCCCGTTCCATGCTGGAGCCCTTGGCTGCATCTGACAATGCCATGGTATATGATCCCAACTCGAGGAGGATGGTCCCCCGAGCAGAACTCCTCCTAGTGGAGCAACGCGTCAGGAATGCATCCGAGAAGCCAGTCCGACGGCACAAAAACGAGGGATCAAGAAGCGGCACTCACCTGTCCAAGGGAACTGTCGGAAGAATAAAAGGAACCGCTGTCGAACCCGCTGCCCCGCCACCCACTGTCACCAAGACTACACAAACCCCTACGGATATTTACTCTACGGTTACGCAAGAACAGACCCCAGAGCCGAAGAAAGCCCCACCACAGCCGCAACCAGAGCCAGAACCCGAGTCTGAGTCCGAACTCGAATCCGACCTCGAGTCCGAACCGGAGGTCAAGGCCGAAACCAAATCGGATTTGTCGAGACAACAAACTCTTGTCGAATCAGAGTCGGAATTGGAATCGGAAGTTGAGGAACCAGTCGAACCCAAGTCTATCAGGGCGGAGCGGATTGAATCAAGTCCAGCCGCCGTGGTTTTACCTGATGCTTCGGTTAGAAAACGACCTTCTGTGGTTCATGAGGTTTCTGATGAAGAGGAAGAGCCCGAGCCTCAACTTCAATCTCAATCTCAACCTCAGCCTACAACACAACCCGCCCCGCAACATCGTCCAACAGATATCATCGATGCAGTACCTGTCAAGTCCTCCCAGCCGTCTCAGCCTGAGCCTAGTAAGAAGGAACAACAGGAGCAAGTCCAGCCGGCCAGTATCCCAGCTCCGATTGAAAAGCCGAATGGAAGCATTCGTCGGACACGTATGCACTCGGAGAGCCCTGCACGCAGCCCTGGCCGGACTACGCACTTTGCGCCCACGACCGATCAATTACTCGTTAGACACGAACCCCCTCCCCGATCTGTTTCGCCTCGGAAGTCTGCACTCAAGCATGCAAGCCCAACGAGAGATGCCTCCCCTTCAGAGGATGGCTCAGAAGCCTCAAATTCTATCTCGGGCTTGATCAGCCAAGATGATGGACTTTCTCGAAGGAGGAGCGTCAGGGTAAGCTTTGACGATCAGAACACGACGGTAGTGGGAGAGTCTGCAGAACCCTCTGAGCCTGAACCATCCCAAATACCCAGCCCTCAGGCAAAGAAACCCTGGCACAACATCATCGGAAGATATAAGCGAGACTCGATTTCTCTTGATGACGATGAAAAGATGACTCCCAGACCAGCGCTGCCCTCGTTTGGTAGCATTCGCGAAAAGAAGGCGAGGGAGACAGAAGAGCGACCTCTTGTCCGCCCCCTGGAAAGATCACTCTCTCCGCCTTACCCTCCGGCCAACAATCGACCGGTAGAGCTGGAACAGTCGAGTGATCATGCTATCGGGTCAGTTCTAGCGCGCGAACAGTCTTCTCGAAACGAAGCCAACATTTCCAAATACAGGGAGCCATTGCCTCTGGTAGTGACATCCGTCGAGAGCAGCGGATACATCAGCAACAGCGACTTGAGCTCTGATGTCGACTCTGATGACAACTCGACGCCCAGCGACTACGTGCCGACAATATCGATTACGCAACCCAGTCCTCGTATCCCAGACGAAAGCCGACAAGACTCACCGCAAGACTTTTTCGACGTCCCAGGCGGATTTCCTGATGAAGTCAAAGGCGGATCAGGTAGCTTAGAAATATCCAATGCCATTGAGAATGCTTCTTCAACCACCAAACCCACCAAGACAGTTGTCAAGCCAGCACCGATCACGCCTCAACGGTCATTTGAGTCGACCACCATGTCTCCTCCCAGTCCCCAAATGCACGACATTCAGGAAGAGTCGGAAGAATCAGACGGGAGCAGCATCTATAGCGACGCCTATGAAGACCTCTCCGATATCGAGGGTGATGGCTTCATGTCCCTGAATGCCGTTGTCGAAAGCCCCATCGAGCCGATGCTTCCTAAAAAGGTGTTTGAGAAGGCCATTGCGAAATCCAAGGAGGCATCAAAGGAGGCAGATGCCTCTCTGGACGCCACGACGAAGAAGGATGCGACACAGACACCCCTGCAGACGCCCAATGACTGGGAGAATGCCAAGGCCTACTGGAGGAGTCTGAGTGCTAAGGAGAGACGCCAGCTTGAAAAGGAGGCTATGGAAGATTCCGATGAAGAGACCGCTCCTGTAGAAGTGGTACAGCCCGTGAAGCCGAAGCAGAAGAAGCACAAGAAGCAAAAGGCAGTGGAGAAACCACAGGAATCACCCACAAAAACCTCATCAGAACATCGGGATCCGAATCGAGTCTACCAGATCTCACCTGGCACCACCTGGCCCCGTGACGAGGTCGAGGAGCCTCGAGTCAAAGCTGTGGCAAAGGAAGTATCCAAGCCAGCAGGAGGATCAAAGCTTCGCAAGTCTATGAGGGGCCATGAAGCTGCAGTGATTGAGCAGTCATCACCGCCGCAAAGTGTCAGCATGCGCAAATCTATGAGATCTGGCGCTGCCTCTACACCAAGCCCTCAGGAAGGCCACTTTCGCAAGTCCCTTCGTCCAGAGCCAGAGGCTACGGCAGCCGCTGGTACTGGCATGAGAAAGTCGCTCCGAGCCAATGGTTCTCCTGCCAGTGTACAAAAGTCTTCCCCTGCTCCGAGAAAAGACTCTCGACCTGCCTCTTATCAGCCAGCAGCCACGATAGAGTCAGCCCAGGCACATCGCCGGCACCACTCAGAGGAGAGAGCTCCTATCGCGAAGCCAAGCCTTAGACGACAGGGCTCTGATTCTAGCGAGAGCAGCTTTCGACGAGCTCGGGTTGGAGGCGGAGAAGGCATGGGCTTTCGCAGAACCATGAGAGGAAGCGTGCGAGACGCTCCAGCCCCTGCGTCTGATGGTGGCAGGGGTAGTGGTCGATTCAGTCTGCGGTCCTTGTCACCAGCTGGATCAGCTTTCCGTCGCAACTCCAACACGAGTTCTCCGCCTCCCGTGGTCATGAACAACCGGATGCGTCACTCATTGCGTGGTGACTCCAGCGACGCCAGCTCATCTCGCATGCGCGTGTCGGGCTTCGGCCGCAAGGGCAAGAAGGCTCGGGGCGGTAGCCGTTTCGATGACTCGAGCGACGAAGACGATGCCCGTCCAGCCTTCAGCAGTCGCTTTGTGGACTCGAGTGAGGACGAGGGTACTCCCACGCCGCGGCCGAAGCAGAAGAGAGTCCCTAGAACGATGCGCAACCAGGCCTCGAGCAATGCAGCTGCCGCCGCCATGGGAGTAACTCCCTCTCACGTGGAAGACGAGGATTCCCCTGACCTTCCAGATAGCGATGACGAGCCAGAGCAGCCCCAGCCAGCTGTAACCAACGGGACCACGAGTATGAGTCCTCGTACGGCTTCTACACTGAAGCGGAGTGGTTCTGGACGAGAGAGCCTGGGGGCCTTGCCTCCTGCGCAGACTGCCGGGGATGTTTCCATGGGCCCTCGACCAAGCCACAAGCGCCGAGGCAGCTTCATGTCGTCGATCCTCCGGCGCAAGAAGGACCCCTCTGACAAGATCTCCCGCAATCACAGCGAGAGTGCTTCACGGAGAGACACTCGTCTAGAGCGCAGCACTGAAGAGCTCGCCGTCATCCGTAGCAACAGCGGCAGCCACCCACACAACGCACGTCTCCAGAAGCGTGGAGCCAACTGGCCGCTCCAGGACGGCCACCACGCCCACGAGGAGGAAGACCGTTTCGACGACGGCTCTCAAAACACGTACGTCGTCGACGAGGAGAGACGGCCGTCCACCGCCGGCGGGCCCGGCCCATCCCCAACCTCTCCAACAGTCAAGACGGGCTTCCTCAAACGCCGCAGCACCTCTCACAGCGCTATTAGCGCTACCCATAATGCTCCCCCGGCCTCTGTCGACAGCATCCCCGAAGGTTCAGAGACTGGGACCCCGAGGAAGAAGAAGTTTGGCACCCTACGCAAGATGTTTAGGCTGGACGACTAAACACATACACATACCCCCCTTTTTTTCCCCTCCCATTCTTTAATCAATACCGATTATCGATACGACGACATCATGTAATTCATTATTCGCTAGCCCGCAGAATACTCGCTCACTTGTTATTCTACTTGGCCGTCTTCTTGCTATTTTATGTATAATGGAGCTCCCTTGGATGAGCTGGGCCCCCTTGGATAAGGGTTGGTTGGTTGGAACACAAAAGCCCTTCCTATGGTTCAAGCCAGAACCGATTTTTCTTTTGCAGACACTGTCAAGAGTAACATTTATCTTGTCATGTTCCCTCTATCTATGTCATGTATACGCCTTGAGCATTAGACGCCATCATATGGGACATTGCTATCAACAAGCACCACTACTGTTTCATCACTTGCCCAGATCCAGTCACCTTGATCTTCGTGCCTTTCCTACCCATGCCATGCCATCTAAAGGACTTATTGTGATTCATATACATTGAACCCGAATCAAGTAGACTCCCGTATCCTCTGAACTTGCTGGAGCATCACCATGTATCACCAAAACTCATTCGTTTAACAATGTTACATCAATGGTACTTTTTTCCTTTCTATGTGGTATCAATCCCGTTTCCATCCCTCCCGGCCTGTATTCGCCAGCCTAAAAGCCGTTCTAGATCAGGACCAATGCAACTCCATCACAAACGCCTCGCCTCCATGATGCACCCGGCGAGTTCCAAGCCTATACCGCCAGCTCGTCCCCTTACGAGCATGGCCTCGGAAGAATGCTACCCGGTCCCCAAGCCAAATGCTGAGAAAACAAGACAAGAAAAGAAGACATGTAATTTTGGTGCACCCAGACTCCACAGCAGTGCATGCGCAAACACCCATGGATGACTCCAACTAGTTGAAACATGATTATCAGAGAAGTCTAAGACTCCGCTGTGAAATGGTGTACACAGCCGTAGCGAAACCGCCCGACATCGAGTCATATACAGGGCATCTGGGGGTGTTTTCACGGATGAAAAAGAACCTAGCTTTTGGATCTCGGCTTATTGCCACCGCTTCGTGCCTTTTCACGCTCCAAAAGAAGCGTCAGCTGGCTTTTTGTGCGTCCCAGGGGAAGACTAGCCGATGTCGTAGGCTGGGTTGGTGTAAATCGGGCGTCGAGCACCGACGGTTTGGGTGGCACAACGGGAATCGTGTGGTGTTGAGGCGGTCTGTGGTCCACGAATCCAGTCACGGGTGACGATCCAAATCCGGACTGATCAAGAATCATACCCGTGACGGCAACGTTTGACGTTGATGAGGTAGCCTCGGTAAAGAGACCCGGCGCTCGAAGGTTATGCTGAGGCTTGGGCTGATCATAACCGCCGTGAGAATGAGACCGGGACATCGGGGGAGCCAAATGACTGCTGGATTTGTCGCTTTCAGGAGACCCGACGCCAAAATTCGACTTCGAGGAAGCCTCAGATCCCCTACGTGACCCATGGCTGGCGAGGTTGATGAGCGATCGGGCTTGTGGGAGCACACCTTTCTCACGGTGGATACTTCGAGGTCGCTCGTTTGGCGGTGACGACCGCATATTTTCCTTGGAGACCTCGTTTCTGTGGGAAACCGGCCGAACGGGCACCATTGGCTGCTTTCCACGTGCTTTCTCGCTCATCACGGGATGCTCATGGGACACCCCATGGCTTTCTCCTGAAGCTGGCTGGTCATGTTCCAGGCTTGTGTCAACATTTGAAGGTACGGGCCGCGGGACTGGTGCATGCCGTATCCCGTTCGAGGAACCGGAGCCCCCTTCTCGACTGCTAGACTCCACGGAGGTTGCTGTTAGTCTCTTTGGCGGCGCCGTCTTTCTGTTCACGGCAGCCGACGAGGGAGCGAGCTTCTGGACCGGGGGAAGGGAAGCCTTTTTCTTCGGTGAAGAGACTACATATACGGGTGCCTCCGAAGCCGTGGCGGCTGTGCTCCCCGAAGAGGGGATCTCATCTTCATCGGCAGATTCATGGGGTGACACAAAGCGGGCAGTGGGCCGCGGCCCTGACGATGATGGGCCTCGGGCTTTTTTCAGGATCGGATGGGCAGGTGGCGGCTTTGACGCGCTGGAAGATAGCGTCCTCAACGCTGAGTCGGTGGATTTTGAATGGCGGGACCCCTGGGGCAGTGGCAGTGGCAGTGGGGGTGTTGCCTCTGCTTCGGCTGCTTCCAGAATCTGTTTGATCAGGGGTGGTATCTGGGCGTCCATGTCAGCGAGGACGGAGGGGTTTTGGTGGGTATTAACCCCAGTGACACGTACATCAGGGCCCTCCCATCGATTCGGGGGTCCCTTGAGAGGGACGAAAGTCGGTCCAAGAGAGATATCCTCATAAAGCCTAGCCAGAGCGCTGCCCTTGAGAAACCTTCGGTCGCTTCCCCAGACATGCCACCAAAAGTTCTCGAGTCGACAAGCTGTAGGATCCTTGAGTTTCTTGTATGTTGTGGTATATACTGCGGTCAAGTTAGATGGTGTATAGAATACGAGACATATGCAGAAGGGCGGATATACCATGCCAATACTCCCAGACCTTGTCAGGGGGTACAACGGGAAAGTCGGCGACTTCTTTGTAGATGTTTTTCGTGTTAATGACAATGCCCTTGGGCAATATCATGGGCATACTCGAATCCATTGGCGAGGTTCGGGAATGCCGCTAGAGCCCAGTAATTGTTGAGTAGCTTCTGCAGGAACAGGTGAGAAATAAAGGCCGGATGGTCGTCTAGTCCGCAAAAGCTCCCCAACGGATCTTGGGCACAGAGTTATTATCGGCGGCTGCACAAGCGGAGCATGGTCGCTGAAATATGAATCGTGAGAGGCCGGCGCTTGAGTGAAAGTCCAGGGGATGAGTATTCAGTGAGTGTGAGGGTAACTGAAAACCGTGAAAACCATCCAAGGTGAAAAGAAAGTCGTATTTTGCGGCTTAAACGAACGAACAAAGGCCTCTGAGTACTTGCTCAGCAGCAGAGTCGCGGTGAAGACGAAAAGGCGGGTTAAATAAAGCGAAGCAGGCGCTGAGTCGTGAAAAGTCGTTCAACTAGGCCAGATTTCGGGGACACCAGAACTGGGCTGAGCGATGCAGCAGCTGACGGTGGTTAAGGAGCACAGAGAGGTGCTGAGTTACAAGATCTCTCTTGTTGTCGTTCCCTTTACTTTTTCCTCGCGTGGCTCATTAGTCGGTGAATCCTCCAGAAATCAACTCCCGTCGTAAAGGAAACCCCAAAGAGACTCGTGACTCGTAAGCTCGTGACGCAAGAACTGGAGAATCGCGTGTGAAATCGCGGCGATGACAGTAACAGTGGACTTGGTGCTTGTGAATCGAGGCAACGCCAGCAGTAAGTGGCACCCAGTGTCAGTGTGGTGTTGCAGTAAAAAGCTTAGCTCAGCGTGTGCTTTGGCGCAGCCAGGAGCCAGGTTGCGCGCAGGCCGCTCAGGTGCTGTGTAAGTGTAATAGGGAGTTCGGGGGTTCTTATTGCATGCTTCCCAGGTCAAGGGCTTTTCCAGAGCAATGAGAAAGTCTGCGCGTCACGAGGTCAGGGGCAGGCATCGAAAAAGGGATGGATATAGATAGGGAATAAAAAGGGACCAGATCGAAAAAAAAAAAAAGTCTGTACCTGCTAGTGAGCCGGAGGAAAAGACGGTGGAGAGCCGGTGGAGGGACTGATGATGCTGGCTGAGGGTATCAAGTGCTGCGAGCCGGTGTTCAAGGGTACGTCCCAAGCTGCTAAAATCGTTGGGCCGTGACACATGAAGAAGAAAAAAAGCGGCGGCGGCGACGTCGGAGGCTGCGGGCGGTGCTTGTCGATGGCTGATGAGGAACGCAGCTTGCAGAAGAGATACCAAAGCTTCTACGCTCTGGCGCCGACTGAGTTCAAGGGTGGGCGTCGTGCTAACGAGTTTCGGGGAGAGCAGGCAGAGTATAAAAAATGAAACCGTGTGCCGTGGCAGACTTGTAAATGGTGGATGTACGTGACGAGGGAAGGCGATTGAAAAGGAGGACTCCTCTCGTCTCGGTGAGGATGACGCCGGGAGACGGTGGAGATACAATCAAGCCAGGTACCTTCCGGAGAGGCCGCTGATTCTGCTGCTTCGCTGACCGGTCCAGGCCAAGATGATCCAATTTTTGGTGAATGAGAGCCCTGTCGACGGAATGCATCAGAGCCTCTGCCAGAGGGAGCCAGGGGTGGGCTTCTAGCTAGCGACTTGTCCGCCCAGGACGTTTATCTTGCGGTGGAGTTTGGACCTGGCAGATGGATGGGATGGGACGGAGCTGGCGGTACGTACTCGCTCCTGGTGGTGGTTCCCTCCACCTCGCCGACGGGCAGCTTCTGGTAAGTTGGCTCGAAGGTGTTGTGTGAATGGCACGCGGCAAAGCCACTGCTGCGAGGGGGAAAGGAGAGAAAGAAGGTGTTGTTGTAAGAGGGGGTGGAGGAGTAAGTTAATAAATGGGAAAAGATGAGAAATAGGCCAAGGAGAGAAGGAAACCCAATCTCAACCTCGGACCTTCCTTTACAACCTATGGAAAGAAGGACATGACCTCAAACCTGGGCCTCTCTTTCCCTTTTGTTCGGTGGTTTTCGTCGTCTGCTCCTTCTCCAGCTAAGCTTAGCCCATACAAAATCGGTCATGAGCGATGCGCCGCCGGGCGGGCCCCCGGGGGGGAGGCGGGCTTGGCGTGATTCCTAGTGGGCAGCTCAGGTGAGGTGCGCTAGCTGGGTCCCCCCTCCCCCCCATGATGATGGAACATGGAACCCTCAAGTACCGTACCGGGCTACCAGAACCAACCTCATAGACGGGAAAGCTCCTCACATGGTCGATCTCTGGTCCCGGAATCCATCTCTTACGCCGAACCCCAAGCTAAGCTAATAGAAGCTATACTTTAGTAGGTCCTCTCGTTCCTGTTGTTCTTCTTCTTCTTTCCCCTTTTCCCTGACGTTGAACGTGGAGAAGACACTTGCTTGCTTCTGCTTCTAAACAAGATCTAGACCTTGCTTGTGAATACCGGTTTTTCATCGATCGATCGATCCATTGGTCACATTGAGGTTTCGTCATCAGAGTCTACCTGCCTCCCTACATATGCTTCTGTGAAAGAGGTCAGCGGCCTGTCGGCGACCTGTAGGTCACTTGCTGACACGGCAAAGACAGGGCTGATGCTGGCAATATCTCCGTACCTTTTCGTTGTGGTTGCGTCGCCCTGTTGCATGCATCACACCTACTCTCCCGGCTGCTGGTGGCTGAGCAGGTACATATCCGAAGTACAGTACTAAACTCGGACAGGGACCATTAGGACCGACCCCCGAGGTCACGGGTTCATGGGACGGGATGAAATATCACCAATCGTCGACTCCAGGCGCACAAGTTACCGGCCGGTTATATGCAGGGCAAGCTGTCATTCTGGCCCTGGGGCGTCGAGCGTGTTTCGTGGGCCGAGTTTTCCGCCAGAGGATTGGGAATTGGTTTCACCGCCTCTGGTATAATCCCGGCCGAGGGGCTTCAATATTGGATGCCTTCGTGCCAAGATCAACGACATGTAGGTACCGTTTCCCAGGTGGTTGACAGCTGGTCAACTATAAAAGCCATTCAACTAGATCGTGACGCTAGTTGGTCTGATTTTGTTGTACCTTGGATTCTGCCTTGGATTCTTCGTTGACATGGAAACTCGCTTACACCCCCAACTACAAGACCATGATATTAACCTCACACATTGGCAGCTGCAACGCAAACAACTCGCTGAAGCCTGGCAATGATCAATCATGTTTCTAATCAGAATCACTACAGCCGAACCTCCAACGTCTCGCTTCTGCGGCTCCGCGTACTGTCTCGCCTCTCCCTCCGTCATTTGCAGTTCCTGACTCGAGAACCCAAGAAGTGTCGTCTGCATCTGGCAGGATCATCGCCTATGCTGCGTCTATCCGCTCGCGGTGCTGCCTGACACACACTAGCGCAACGCATTCTAGAACAATTTACGATTCATTGTCTCTCCGCAGACCCGAGTTTCGGGCAGATGCGCGAAAAGAAAAAGTTGAGTTGTCACGTTGCTCAGATATAGGTTGTCGTGATGCCATGCGTGTTTCGTCCTGTTTGGGGCGGGTTTCCGGCAGCAAGTCAGTCTTTTCTAGATTGGTCCTTTTAGTTCTCCCCCATCCCCTCCATTACGATTCAATCTTTGTTTTTTCTTCTCGCCTTTTCTTTCTCTGTGCCTTTTCTCTCCTGCCGCAACGAGTCTTCTGATCCCTCCCCCTTGCGGGGATATCCCCAGAATCCTCGTGGTCGTGTGACCCGTCAGCCACCATCCGCGGCAGGAGACGACATGTTCCCCCCTCCTGAGGCTCCCAACCCCCGCTTACTCGCCCATCCAGTCTAAAGTGCGCCAGTCGCAGCGCGGGACTTCACGAGACTCGACCTGACGCCTGTTCCTGGAGGCACCTGACGCGGGGGTTGGTGAGGGGAGCAAGCCACCCCGTCTCTACGCGTGGTTGTTGTCGGCCGAGAGGAATTGCACCGCAAGCGGATGCCGTCATGGCAAGAACCTTGACTCTGTTCCGCTCCGGCACATGAGCAAACCCGGCGTCAACTTTGAAATTGGATGGAAGCTCGGCTAACAGTGGAGAGCTGAAGCTCCAACTCCTCGTCTCCTCTTCCGGCGGGGAGCCCACGAGTTAACCTCAGCCCCCAATTTAGGAGACAAAGGGATGAAGGGAAGAGTCGTCTGGCTGAGTGACCCGTCATTTCAACAAGTTTGCTCCCTTCCCACCAACGAGGCCGCCGCTGAATGACGATTTGAAGCAAGTTGCCCACGTGGTCGATACTCCAGTGCAAGGTACATGTACTGTCAACGTTCCCCCCTCCCCTCGACAAGCCCCTCGCGACAGGGCAAGCCCCCCACGTTTTCGAGCCACACCAGCTTTGACGCAGCGGGGCCCTAGGTCGCTATAGCTTCACAATAAGGAGGGGTTACAGTTGAATAGCAAGCTTCCTCTTTGGTCGGGCAGATGTCCTGAGGGGCGATTGCGCCATCTTGGCCGCCGCGCGCGCGCTCAGATTAAAACTCATCTTCGGGAGCGCATGGCCTCGGACTCGAACTGTCTGTCGGATGTCGCAAAACCGGGGATATGTGACCCTGCAGCCGACAAGTTACCTCTTACCCAGGTAGTTGGCCTCGACCATGGGCAGCGAATCCCATGCCTCGGATCTTGCTGACCCTGACTTCTGGTGGCATGACGAAACCCCTCAAGCCCTACAGAGCGTCGCGGCTCCAGGCGCGCATTCGCAGAAAAACATGGGATACTGAGTCAACGATCTCTGTCTTCTAAGGCAAATAAAGGTCCCTAAATATAATAAATAAAATACTCAAAGATTTATGATACTATTCCTTATTTTTATCTCTTATTTGGTGTATAATTCAGTTATTATGTGAGCACTCTTTGTTGAGTGTTAACGTTCTGGTGTCTCAAGTTTTCTTACGTCCAGGTGCCAGGGTTCAGGCAATCGACTGCCCATCTGCCCAGAGCCTCCTCCGTGGGGATGCCGTACGATACTGGGGCCAGTGGCAAGGAGCCTGGGTAGGATTATTATCATCATTTCTGATCTATCATCCAGATCAGGTTCTTGGGCTCGCAGCAGCAAACTCTTGGGCTTCCTCACCTCATTCCCGCGTCGACATCCCGCGCCCTATTGCTCACCGTGGCTGCAGGAGGGTGAGAGAAAAAAAATCTTCTTCCTTGCTAATGCTGCAACGGCACCGTTGATTGTACCATGGCTTCGGAGTCGACGAACATGTTGGGTTCGCTGCAGCCAGATCCTTGTTCCCCCCATCCGTTTTCGGCAATACCGTAAGTTACTTGATGAGCCGCCTCAGTTCATGGGGGTTGCACTCGGGAATGTCAAGGGTTTGCATGTGCTGGTGCTGTGCGTGCAGCGATCCGATTTCGGCACCTAGATAGGCCACATGAAAGAAGTTTGACAAGTCATCGAGATCAAGTCACTCAACATCCAGGACAGGGATCTGACCTCTAGTTCAAAACCCAGCATTGTCAGCAGGTATCAATATCTGTTGTCATCTCTTCTCTCATTGTTAGTTTTGACTACATGTACTCTCCTTGAGCCAACAACCGCTCCAAGTACCGACACTAACAAAGGATTCAAATTGTGGCACAGCTCGGCAGTTGAGCGTTCCTTGTTGGCAGAATGTTTTTTAGTTGTCATTACCATTATCTAACCCAATCCCGCTTCTAGCCTGGCAAGCCTGCCCACCAAGGAACATGTACAAACAATCTCGGCCGTTTTTCTTTTCTCTTCTTTTCTCTTGCCGCACACTTAAGTGACAGTGTAGCCGCCGTCAACTCGCAGATCGGCGCCAGTGACATACGAAGAAGCGTCAGAGAGGAGGAATGTGACGGGACCCATGAGGTCTTGGGGTTGACCCATCTTGCCCTGGGGAATGAGAGAAGTCCACTTCGCCTTGAGGTCGGGGTTGTCGTCGAGAATCTTCTGGGTCCTGTGACAGTGTTAGTCATGAGTTCAAATCTGCCCCGAGACTCCAAGAACGCAAGGGGAGCGCGGGGGGTGAAACTTACAATGCAGTCAGCATGTAGCCGGGAGAGATGCAGTTGACTCGGATGCCGGCCTGAGCCCACTCGACAGCGAGAGAAGCTGCAAGATGTCGGACGCCAGCCTTGGCGGCGTTGTAGGGAGCTTGGGGCTGGGGAACATTGACGATGGCGCCAGACATGCTACCAATCATGACCATGCTTCCAGGAGACTTGCGCTCCATCAAGTGCCTAGCGACTGAGGTCGCGAAAAGATAGGTTCCGTCAACGTTGACAGCCCAGAGCTTGCGCAGACGATCGATGGGATAGTTGACAGCTTCGAAGTTTTCGGTGAAGCCGGCCGATGTTACGAGGTTGTCGATCTTGCCGTGCTCCTTGACGACCTCGGCGATACAAGCATCAACTGACTCGGGGTCAGAGACATCGGCGTAGTGAGCAGTAACCTTGGGGATGCTATTGGGGACGATTAGCTTCAATTGGAGCTCAGCATGAAAATAGGGCGACATACCGTCGAGCGCGGGGGTTCTCCTTCTTGAAGGCCTCAATGAGCAGAGTTGTCTGCTTCTCAGCCTCCTCCTCTACAATACGGGTCAGAAATTGGTCTTGAAATTCAAGTGAAGACAGAGAACGTACTGTTCATATCAACAAGAGCAAGGTTGGAGCCAGAAAAGACCATTCCCTGGCCCATAACGAGACCCAGACCGCGAGCACCACCGGTGACGATACCGACATGGCCGTCAAGCGAAAAGGTGGGCAGAGTGGGCTTGACATACTGGCCACCAGTACCAGAGACGGGCTCACTGCTAGGAAGCTCGTGGTCTTCGGGGTACTCAACCTCGATACCAGGATCGGTCTGGGCATACTTTCCAGGCTTGTCCTGGCGAGGAGGAACATTGTGAATCTTACGCGCGGCAGCGACTGTGAAAGAAGGGCGCAGGACGGTGGGAGCGGCGCGGCGCGCACACTGGCGGAGGACAGGTACAAAAGACATGATGAAGGACAGAATATGACGATATGTGAGGAGGGGAGGCAAAAGAAGGAAAGGAATCGGCGGGAGTGGATTGCTTTTAAGGAAGCAAACAATGATGGCTTAGCAAAGCTAGAAGCTGGGGATAACCTGGAGCGATGAGCTCAAGTGGCAACAGCTTGCTCCAGGATGAAGCTTGAGCTCTGGAGCTTGACGTCGATATTGCAGGGATGTGCAGGGCTGGTGTGGCGCCCAGGAACAAAAAAGGCAAAAGATGATCCTTGGATCCCGCGAATTCAACAGCAATGATTGACCGAGATGCAGATTCCCAATACGATCGTGATGGGCAGAAGAGGAGATGGGTGAAGAGGTGAAGCTCGAAAATGGTGTGACAAGTTAGTGGTTTATATCGTCGAGCAAGAAGGCAGGAGGTCAAGACTGAGAGCTCCTTCACTGTAGTGTAGTGTAGCTAACTGCTCTTCCCGCCCCGGGGTCCCAAGTAAACGGAACCACCGCAAAGAAGCAATCCGACCCCGGTCCGACCGGCTTCTAGACGATAACCCACACACAATACCTTGAAAGCCGACCCGACCGGCTTCAAGTTAGACGATAGACCCTAAGAACCGACCCGACCGTGGATCCATGATGCATCAACAAGACCATCATCACCGTGGATCCCTTCCAGACCTCCCCAGCTCTACCAATTGGCAAGTCAGACGAGGGGAGGATCTGAACAGGGTGGAGGGCGCGGAAGACGGACACCGACACACAAGCAAAACACCACGAGGATTCCCTCCATGGGAGCTGCAAGCCATTGAGGTCTTGCCCCGCCCCAGGCATCAGTATAAAATTCGAGCCTGACTTTGTCTGGATAGGCGGCTCAACAAAGAAGGATGCCAATGGCTCGGTTAACGGCTGCATGGGAAAGGGCTTTTCTTTCTGCTCATGTGAGGAACAAATGTAGAAGGTCCTCCAGGTCTGACGAGAATCCATTATTCACTCAGAGAGAAGTTTGATATCTTGGGGTCTGAGAGCTTCTGGTGGTGGTGGTGGTGCATCAAACTGAACGGCGTGATAGCCCCCATTAGCCTTGGCACTTGCTGTCCCGCGCCGGTTTTCCACTTCTGGGAGGTCGGCCAGTCCAGGGGCCACCCATGGTTTTTCAGGGACTCGCAGGGGGTTCACTCCAATCGCCTGGGAGTTTCCCATCTTCCAATTGACACCGCGATCCTTGCCCGTGGGTTTGCTGTCGCCGCAACGCAACCCTCTCAACAACAGAACACAACCCCATGTTCTAGACGCCCTCGCTCGTCTCCGGCCGAGTCGCACAGAGCCTCACCTTGCAGAATCTCCCCCTCTCCGGACAAGGCCGGATACGGAGGAGAGAGAAGCAATGAGCGCGGGGAAAAGAGGCAAAACTTGATCATCATATCATCAGATCGGTGGCGATTCTGCCAACTTGGCTTGCAGGTTTTTGTGTGCAAATCTTCATTACTAGGTGGCATCATGCACAGTAATCACAATGCTACTCGAGACTGTCTCTTGCGATTGAGGAAAGAGAAAAGCGAGCCGTCAATTGCAATGGCTGATCATCATGATCTCTTACTAGAGGTAAAGACGGGGCGTTCCAACTGTAACTGGCAATTGGGGGCGGTCTCCATTAACAACATTAGCTGCTGAAACTCAACAAGCAATATCAAGCGGTCTACGATATCAATTGATCAATGTAGACACGCCAGCGGGTAGACGACAACTTCATCACAGTGGGGACAGGCACCAACACCAGCCCAAACATCTCGCGATGGCTGCTTCCGAGACATCCAGCAACTGGGACAAGCATCAACAACAGCATAACGAAGTTCCCTACGACCCCACTGTAGCTTCGGTCCAGGGCAGGGGAAGCAGCTCTCGATGGCCCGGTCGTCAGGGCGCCGCTAGTCGTCCCGCGCCCTTGGGCTAGATTGCCCATCCTGGTCGGGTCCTCGTGGGACATGGAAATTTTCCAAAGTAACCCTGCTAGTCGGCCGACTCTTGTCTCGACCTTCTCACATGAACAGCAAGTTTTGTTTCCCATTGGGCTCTCAGCTTTTTCTTTATGCTGGTTTCACTGATACTATGTACACGGCCCTCGAACACGTAAGCCCTTGATTAACAGGAACTCCCAAGGACCATGCTGGTGAGACGCTGGTCACACCGCCAGCTACTTCACTTACAGGTCCTTCACCTTGGAACCTCGTCTCACCGACGGGAGGCTTCACTGATCGCCTTGATCTTTGCCGGTCCCTGGTCTACTCCCCCACGCCACTGCTCAACAACGCAGCCCCTGCGTCGATGCTTTTGCTACCTCATGCCTGTGCATACTCCTTGTTAAATGCCCTTCCAATCACCATGCGTCTGATCTCAGACGTGCCGGCTCCAATCTCGTACAGTTTAGCGCTGCAGATATGGTCAGTTCATAATCTCTAATACATAGCTTCATCAAGGTCATCTTCATCCCCCATCCATCCTAGGATGACAAGGAATGAGACCAAGGGTTTGAAAACTTACTCGCGAAGCAATCGAGATGCAGGCATCTCCTCCACATATCCCATGCCACCCAGCAGTTGGATGCAGTCGAGCGTGCACTCTGTTGCCCGCTCGGCAGCATACAAGATAGCACCGGCGCAGTCTTGCGTGCGGATCAAACCATTCTCATCCACGGCCTTGGCCGTCATGTATGTGTATGCTCGAGAAGCCTGCAGCTTTGTATACATATCTGCCAGCTTGCCCTGGAGGAACTGGTTGTGCGCAATGGGCTGGCCAAATTGCTTGCGCTGGTGTGTGAATGGCAAAGCAACATCGAGTGCCGCTTGCATGATACCAAGGGGTCCAGCACTCAACACCAGACGCTCCAGATCGAGACCCTCCATGAGGACTCTCACTCCGCCGTTGATCTTGCCGAGGATGTTCTCGGTGGGCACAAAAACGTTGTCAAACATGAGCTCGCCCGTGTTGCTGCCGCGCATGCCCATCTTGTCGAGCTTCCGGGCACAGCTGAAGCCCTCCGTCTTGGTATCCACCAGGAACGCCGTGATGCCCTTGGATGCCTTGTCGGGCTCCGTCTTTGCGTACACGACGATCACGTCGGCATCGGGCCCGTTGGTAATCCACATCTTGGACCCATTGAGCACGTAGCCGCCGTCCACGGCCTTGGCTGTCGTCCGCATGCTGACAACATCGCTGCCGGCGCCCGACTCGGACATGGCCAGAGCACCGACGCTTGTGCCGGCGATGAGGCCGGGCAGGTACTTTTGCTTCTGCTCCGGTGATCCGTTGAGCTGGAGTTGGTTGACGCAAAGCTGTGAGTGTGCCGCGTAGCTGAGGCCAATGGATCCAGAAGCTCGAGAGAGCTCCTCCATGACAATAATGTGTGCTTGGTAACCCATGGCGAGACCTCCCACGTCCTCATCAGCCGTGATGCCGAGGAAGCCAGCCTCTCCCAGCTTCTGCCACATCTCGGCGGGGAAGGCATTGGTCTTGTCTGTCTTTGCCGCCACCTCCTCCGTGATCTCACGGCGAGTAAATTCTTGCACTCTATCCCTCAGCTCATCGAGCTCCTCCTTTGAAGGGGCCTCGAAGCCTTTGGGGTGCTTGGACGAGTGAAGTCGAGACTGGATTGCGGGGAGCGTCACAGCAGGGCGCCATTGCCTGGCCGCAACAGGTCGGGCGAGTGATCTGAAAGTCCGTACGCTTGCCATTGTGATTGTGATATGTGAAGAAACAATTGACGAGGAACAACAAGGCACAACTGGTAAAATACAAAAGACTTTGCTTATCTCAGAGAGTCAATGTCGTACGGAGGTATGCCCTGCCGAGGCGCATCGGCCAGTAAAGGCTACGATAGCCGCGTCTAGGACCCGGTTCGACGCGGCTTCTCGCGGCCCGCTTACCCCAGGTTTTCGACGTCACAAGCTCGGCTTTGGCGTCAACCCGTGCTCCGGTATCTATTCACCACGGGCTTGAAATCTCAGGCCTCTCTCCCGTTCCAAGATGCCCTTGACGGCGCACAGATTTTCTCCTCAATCTCACTTTTGAAATCTGTCGAGAGCAAGCCCCTTAGAAATGTCCCTGCCACGTTCTTCCCGCCAGGCCTTGCGCCTCGGTCGCCAATTCGGTCGCCAGCAATCGCAGGTGTCCTCCCAGAAGCGAGCTGTCGCGAACCTCACTCCGCCGCATCAGGCCAATGCCATCTCGCGGCTCCAGAGCGTCATTGATCCGTCGTCAGACGAGTTCAAGGAGAATGAGCGGCAGATGAGCGAGGTCATGAACCGCATGCAAGAGCTCACACGCAAGATCCAGCAGGGAGGCTCCGAGAAGGCCAGACAAAAGCATCTTGCACGCAAGAAGATGCTCCCCAGAGATCGGGTTACAGCATTGATCGATCCTGGTACTACCTTCCTCGAGCTCTCACCTATGGCTGGTTATGAGCTTTACCCAGAAGCCGAGGTCCCCGCGGGTGGCATTATTACCGGTGTTGGTGTTGTCGAGGGAGTGACGTGTGTTATCGTTGCCAATGATAGCACGGTCAAGGGCGGCACATATTATCCCATTACAGTAAAGAAGCACCTGCGAGCGCAGGCTGTTGCGCAAGAGAACAAGCTACCGTATGTACTCCAGTGCCAATCTGCCATGCTCCAGAACTGACAGGCAGCAGATGCATTTACCTCGTCGACAGCGGTGGCGCGAACCTGCCTCATCAGGCAGACGTCTTCCCCGACCAAAATCACTTTGGTCGCATCTTCTATAACCAGGCACGAATGAGCTCTGAGGGCATTCCCCAGATCTCTGTGGTCATGGGGCCATGTACCGCCGGTGGTGCTTACGTTCCGGCCATGAGTGATGAGAGCATTATTGTCCAGGAGCAAGGCCACATCTTCCTTGCCGGCCCGCCACTAGTCAAGGCTGCGACCGGTGAGGTTGTCAGCCATGAGGATCTGGGAGGTGGCAAGATGCACTCATCTGTCTCTGGTGTGACAGACTACCTTGCCGTGGATGATGCCCATGCGGTTGTGCTGGCCCGGCGCTGCATCAGCAACCTCAACTGGCCCAAGAAGTCGCCCAACACTCAAGCTCCCAAGCCTACATTCTCAGAGCCTCTTAATGACCCCGAGGAGCTGCTTGGCATTGCCACCACCAACCTGCGAAAGCCCCTCCCCATCCGCGAGGTTATCTCTCGTATCGTGGACGGCTCTGAGTTCTCCGAGTTCAAGCGGGACTTTGGCACAACACTCGTGACAGGTTTCGCCGAGATCTACGGCCACAAGGTAGGCATTGTGGCCAATGACGGTATTCT